AAGCACTAGTTGTGACAGTTAGACAGTTAGGTGACTTGAAATAAGTTAGACATAGGTCAAGAATTCGGCCGGTTAAGAGACTGTGGATCCACATTTAATGAAGCATGTAAAATCTTCAGTATTTGTGCTTAACCAGTGTTTAATCTGGCAAGTGATTTTGACTGTAGTAGGAAAAGGTTAGACGAATTTCATTTGAAGTAACACCCAAACTTGTGAACCGATTCAAGTTGACAGATGCGAACTAACTGTTTAAATGACCACGATCAATGACTGAAGATATTGTATGCCATGGTTCAAATTAAATGTAAAGAAAGAGATCAATTCACTATTTATGAAAAATTCCGTCTTAAGACTCAGTATTCCTGTCTACTCAGCTTTTTATTTCATCCAATTAATCATTTTTTCAGCCAGAACTCCAATGTAAATCGTGCGGTATCAAATAAGAAAAATAAATTTTTAAATCAAAACAGGACCCCTAAATTTTTTTCTGCATTTTAAATTGGACAGAAAATGAATGGAAATTAATTATTTCAAAACAATCAAGATAAAGATAATTTTGTTACATATATTCAACGAAAGTGAAAATTTTGCATTATGCAAATAGAATAATTATCGCTGCATAAACATAGATCATACAGAGATAATAGAAAAAACTAATTTAATTCAGACTCTTCAACACTTTTTAGAAGAATATTTTGCATATCTGAAAGAAAATGTAAATTAAGTACAAAGATTTTTAATTGTCTCGGTCCAATCCACGGATATGTTGGTCATGGTCACCAGTTAAGAAAGATAACACATACACTCAATGTGTGTCTGGTCCTTTAGTACTGATTCAGTTGTGACGACTAATGTGCGATACGTCACTAGTTTGAGTGATACTGCATCATTTACACATTGTTTGCATGTAAGGTGGTTTTAAGCTGTCCGGACGAAACTCCGAACTCAACTTAAATGCTTACTAACACTATCTTTCATGGCTTACGCGCAGTCTTGAAGTAATTTGTTCACTAGGATTAGCAAGAGTTATCAAACAATTCTCAATATATTAATCATACGGAAGACCAGTTGGTGGTAGCATGTTAGACTACTGTGACAGTTTTCAATCGGTTTCAGTTGCATAGGGAGAACATCTGCCTTACAGTTGAAGGTATGCTCTAAAAATTAGCGCCTATCAACAACAAGTTGCGGTCTGTCGTTTCTATCTTACAGCCCTTACCACGACAAACCTTTTATTCTCTAAAGGTTACAGTATAAATTCAATTGTTCGATCACTTGTAGTGTTACCACTTAACAAGCCTATATACTAACATTTTTATTTGTTAAATAATCAACTCACAGTAAAAGAATTTTTAGCATAGTCACACAATATATATTTAAAGTTATTCAAAAAGAATTAAAAAAAATTTTTTTTTAAACTCCACTTTCAATCGCATAATCAATAACTAACTAAATGGAATAAAATAAAATGAGGAAACACGCTTAATTTTCCTTTCATCAAATTGCATTAATCTCATTATTGGTAGAAAGAACTATTCCTAATGTTACTTTTTTGCATGACATAAGTTTAATAGCCTGTGAACAGGTAAACTGAGATTTGTTTTCATTAAAAGAAAATATTGACCTTAACAGGAAAAATATATATATATATATATTTGGCTATTACTTATTTTTAGTCAGAAAAAAATAAATAAAAAGGTAAAAAGGAAATAACATTCCATTTTGGTAATTAAACAATGCTGGATAGATTATTTAATGAACAGGAGGGAACTTGTTGAACTGATAAGTATTGATTACACAAGCTACTAGCTGCACAGATTAAGTATTTCAATAGATGTTTGAAGAGAAAGATACTCTGCTTAGGTAGCTGTGTGATTATGAACATCGGGATGTAAATATATCCAGCTGACAAGTTACAGTGATTAGGAAAGGCAAGTTATGATTTCCACTGATAACTGAATCCCATCTATTGTAACAGAGTGTGGAATTAGGTTCTCTTAATTTAGCTGTTTCTTAAATATAACACAATTAAGCCGATGATCAACAAGTGATTGAAGTTCATACGAAATCAAGTTTACTGTTCAACTACTATCATTCCTGAATATAGTATGTTTTAAAATCTACTAAAATCTACTACTAGACGCAAAGACCTGTGCTCAACTCCTGACTACGAGGTCGCAGATGAGCACTATCAAGCGGTTTTATACTAGGATAAAATAGGTGTGCAGTTGGTTCAGGTTAGCAACGGTACTCTAGCTAATATCTAAAATGTGACGGAATAATAAAGGCTTGAACCAGTGTTTGCATATACGAAGTAAATCGAAGCTTATGAACATAGACAATTAAATGGTGTACAAATGATTTAACAGGGAAGAATATATATCAAAGGAGGTGAAGAAGAACAATGGAAGACTGTGACAGACAGTGAAATCGTTCGTTTAGTTTCCTGCAGTTAAAGAAAGGTTAGAGGTGAAAGATCGGATCAAATCTCGTTCAGAAAAGATGAAGGCATATGTCAATTTACTCACTGTCTTTACCTATTAAATAATCAATGTCAACCAAGTTTGATAAACCATAACTACGTGCTTTCATTACTTAAACTATTCATCTAAACAATTCATAGAATATTTACTAATTCATTGGTTAACTTGTCTTAGGGTTAAGCTCAGCACATCATTTTCTAAAGGAGTTGTTAGCTTTTTATATACAAACTGAATATTAGAAACCAAGTAACTTATCCTTCATTTACGTAGATATTTTTTTTAATTGTAAACTTAAACATGAATCTTTTTATTAACTTCCATTTGTCTATTATGTAAGATAACGTTATTTAATTCTTCTGTAAATTGTTAATTTACAAGGATTTCTTCCATGGATGCATAAAAATATTGTTGTAATTAAGAATAGACTCTGATGATCATCTAAACTGGATACAATAATGTTTGCTCTAAATAACTTTCCATTAAAATGAAAATACCAAAATATAGTTATCAAGTCATACAATTAAGATGTTCAGTTTGAGAATTTGTTCAATATTTCAAAATCTGTTATTCATTAGCTTCATATTTTTAGCTCTGTAATTAATGTCTGGTTATTGAAAATATAAAATCGACTTTTAACTAATCAGTTGAAGCACAATTAATTTATCTTATGTTTTATTTGCGACCGTTTTAATCGAAACTAACCATACAGTTGTTGATAATCACTTGGCTCTTACTTGAACGCTACTAAACTAAATCATTTTTTTTTAATACAAATCAAACCACTGTATCGATGATTGTGAGAGGACGTTACAAATTGGTCGTTTTCTTTGAAATCCTGTTGATGAAGATGATGGTGATAATATCACTCCAATACGTCCACATCTTCGACAGTCAAATTATCCGGACTTAAATGAAAACATAGGAAAACGTCATTTATTCCCACTGTGTACAATTTCATTTCTAATGGCAAACTTAATTATTTCTATCAAAGATAAATTACTAAATTTTAATATTTCATAACAAAAAAAATTTACAATCATAAAGTGTATTCAGGTTCCACAGTTGAGCAGACATTTCTTTTTTTTATTCTTCTGCTGCTAATTGAATATTACTGTTACTGAAAAAAAATAAGTTTGTTTTTAACTATACATAAACATATAATATATATACATATATATACTCACTGGTAAGCATTTTGAAAAAAAAATTGGGCGTAGACCAACTATTGACAGTTTTGCCATGGTATTTTGTGGTGGAAATAAGATGTTTAAAGAGAGAAAAAAACACCAACAACACCACGAACAACAACAACAACCACAATTGTACAATTTAAATATGTACGATTGAATGCATATGAATAAAAACAATCTTTTTGAATAAAATACAATTAATTAATTAGTCAGTTCATAATAATTATGTTAACAACAATAAATAAATATAAATATAAATATATGTATTTGTAGTTTTTTCTTCTATTTCAAGCTAAATTACTGTTTATATTTTATTCAATCCAATTATTATCAATACTTTTGTTTTGTTTTACTGAAATTAATTTGTAGGCGTATGTATGTATAAAGTTGTTTTGAAGACTGATCATTTAAAAACAGCATTTTTCTGTATGAGATAGTTGTGTCAAAGTACATTTAAACGATTATCATATATTATTTATAAAAATCTTATTCATCTAAATGTTTCCAAATAATAGGTTTAAAGTGAACTTAAGATTTAAATTATCCAGAATGATTTGACATCATCTTCAAATGAATTCTTGTTTCTTTAATATATTCATCAAGGTGAAGTGTAACTCCAAGTTGTCCCACTTTCTCTCAATCTCTTTTTTCGTTTGATCTTGTATTTTAGTTAATTACCTTGTTCTGTTACCCATTACTACATTTTAAACTAACATCTGTTGAAGTGTTTGACAGGCTCTGGCAAATCTTGTCTCTGACTGCTTTCAATGGCATGCTTGTAAAGGTTCTGACATTCTAAGAAATGCACATTCATCCTCAATTTCAATATTTTCTTAGACACATTTATGTCCATAGCTGACTAAAATAACTTTTTTTTTAAGTGAATAAAAATCGTGTTTGTGTGTGAACAAGTTAAAGAGGAGTATTCATTATGAATAGGATTGGTGTACACTAAACTGCATTATCTTAACCGATAAGATGTTCAATATGACTAATGATCTTACCATGTACTGATTTCAGCTGGAATTGTGCAAATGTTTTGTCAAATTCTATCTTATTATATCTTCCAGTTTCACTTCGTTTGCTTCATAATAATTAATATCATCACTAAAAATTTGCCTCACTCCTAATGTAGCCTTTTCCAAATGTTATAATCCTAATTTTCTGTTTGATATTACAAAATTCACTTTGGGTATACAGATATATAGGTGTGTATGTATATAGCCCTTGTTAAGCAAAAGGTATCAGATGTCATGGAAAACACTTAAAATTGACTGTCGAAAACATTAAAACATTTACTTTTTATTTTTGTTAATTTTGAATTCAGTGAATGTAAAATCATCAAGGATATGCATACACAAAAGCCAAAAGGATATGGATTTGTCGCTTATGCAACAAGACAAGTAAGTTTCGATGGAATTCTAGAATAGTTGATACATTTATAGTTTCATATTGTGTTTTTAATGAATGTTCATGTCTCATGAATTGTCAAATATGTCTTTTTCTTTAAATCCGTAGTTTTATACTTGTCCATCATCTCAATTCACAGCACGATTTGAATTCACATGTTTAAGTTACTCATGTTTTTAGACAACAAATTTAATTTAAAGTGAAAAACCACTGAACTGGACATAAACCATTTATTGGCTTTATAGTCAGTGGTTCATGGCATCGAATCCACTTCTTTTAAATGGGAAACTTTAGAGCTAATAAACACTTTAGAAAATCAGTCACTAGATATACAGTCCTATTTTGTTGAAAGTTATTATTAGTACATTCATGATATAAATAAAACTGACGTATCCGAGTTAGTTTTGTTCTACTGAACACAATCTGTTCAAATAGTTTAAAAGTTAAAGTTTTGCCGCAGATTAATATTTGCAAGCAACACTTATGATCACGGTGAATTTTAGCATTTACAATAGAAAGATCTATATATGTTAAGAAAGTTGGTGAAGTCAAGCTCAAAGAAGCCACACCTTTTGAGAAATTCGACCAAATGGTGCGAAGTTGGTATTCACTCAGATGGTTTGTTACAAACTTTATACTTTCTAAATTTACTTTTACGGTTGAATATTTTACGAATCGTTAACTACGAACATAGACCAGAGAAACTATGTTCTACTCCTAAATTCGTTACAATCAATACCTAGTGTTTGAAATTTCGTCATCCAGAGACACTTGACTTCCTCCCTAGACGTGCTTGCAATAAGTTTGAACGCTCTTTAAAATATTATGTTGTGACAACCAAAAGTAGGTAACTTGATTAAATTATATTGGACAATAGTATTTTCCAAAGTATTTCTATCTATTTTCAATATTCCTAACATTTTTTTCCATAATTATTTTTGTCCTACATACATAATTAAGTTGAAAACTGATCTTGTTCGGTGAAGCATGACTATGAATAACAAGAATGAATGTTCATTTAAGACATGCATAAACAACAACTACTTGAATAGAGTATATTTATCGACAGTAATCATTACTATGATAAATTCATAATTTTGATACAATATTTCTCTACTTATAATAACATTTTTTCCCAACAATAGGAAGCTGAGCGTGCAATCCGTATAATGAATGGTCAAATTATTGGGACAAGGGCTATAAGAACAAACTGGGCTGTACGTAAAGATCCAGCAGATCAAGCTAAAGGTGAGTTATGCGCAAAGCTATCTGCATATTATCAGTGAATCACTTCAACAAGCTGATTTGTTTATTATCGACCTTTACTTTTGACGGACCAGATATAACGAAGTATAAGGGTAAACAGTTTGGGAAAGCTGTAAAACAAAAATTAAATTTTCTACTAAGCGCAGATTTACACACGTTTTTCAGACACATTATTAACGAATGAGGACAAATGATGCTATGAGATTGTCTAGGCTAAACTAAATTAGAAGGGATTCGAACACTAAACTTGATATCTGAAATGCAGTTGTTATAATCACTACCTCATGAAATATTAACTTAGTATAAGCTGACAAACGTAAAGTGATCATGTTCCCACTGAAAACTACAGCTTACTTTAATAAAATTTGTTAGAATCATTATTAGTGGATTTAGATTTTTGCTAAAAATTGATTACCACAAAACAAAATCAATGAAAGTTGGTGGATAAACATAATTGTGGATAACCGGCAAATATATATATATATATATATATATATTTATATACATAACCTGTCATATATATATATATATACACCCAGCAGTGAATACTTGTTTTTATTTTACAGATATCTTGATTATGAGCATTAGTAAATTATTCATACAAGAAATATTTGAAATAACATAACAACATACAAGACAGTATCTTAATTATTCAACTATTCTTTGAAATATATAAAATTAGTGATTATTTTGTGGAATATGATCAAAACATATAAATAAGTAAATTAATAACCCCAAAATAAACAACCATAAAAAAGAATATAAAAATATGAAAAATACAACATTTCCTTTTTTGAGTTTATGAAAACAACATGAGTATATTTTAAAAACATCTGTTGTTGTAAATAGTGGCTTAACTGCTACTTCAAACGAAATCTTTTCTACATACATGTACCGAAAGAGTTAAGAAAACTGACTACCACCACATGCATTTTTTTCAATGCGTATACTCCAATGTTGTATTATGAATACTAATAATGATCATGTTCTTTTGTCCTACCCTGAGTAAACTATTTCCGTATGCTTACTAGAAGACATGCATATCCTCTATCCAACTGTTAGCTATGTTTCGAAACTTTTTACCACAAACGTCAGTGTTGTGTCTGTTTCAGTTAAAAAGTTTTAACAGAGATTGACCAAAGAAAATCCTGAATGTCAACAAAGCAAAACAACAAATCGTTTTCATGTAAAGTATCCAGTATCTACGGTCTTATATTTTTCCGCTATTGATGCTAAATACTACAAATGAGCAATCCTTATTAGTATACTAGTAAGCTGACTAAACTGTAATAATACCGAAATTTAGTAATAACAAGGTAGTATGCGGGTTTCGTTCCCAAACATTTTTGGTTAAATAAACGTTGCCGAATCCCAGTATTGATGTTAATCAAGAGTCAAAATAATTAATGTGGAAATAAAATGTCATCTACATGACCATTTTAATAATGACCTGGAAATAAATATTAAATAATAACTAGTGTCATAACAAATTTATTCATTTCTCTGTACTGTTCATTCAGACAAGTGGCATTAAGAAGATCATATCTGAATATAGATTGAAATGTTTACTAGTATGTCGAGCTTGGCTTGGCTTGTCCCAGCCTTTGGACAAATTGATTAATTCATTCATCTCCAGTCATTCACACGTTTTTTGACCCACATAATCTTGATTGTTTTTACTTAAGTGCGTATTTGCATTGGTTGTTTTGCGTATCACAGCTAATATTTTTCTAACTATGAATACTTAGTCATATTTCATCTTATTGGAGTTGGTCTGTTCTCCGTCTCCACTTCACTTTGCCATCCCGTTTTTTATCTTCATGTCTATCTGCATGAATGGTTGTATGAAATAAACTCATCTAACTGAATTCATAATTGTTTTTTTTCTGATCACCACCGTCTCACAAACGGGATTCGCTTATGAATAATGTACGGAAAGTAGATAAAAGATTTATCCCATATAGAATATTCAACCGACCTTCCAAATAGGAGTCAGTTTCCGGGCTACTATATTATATATATATATATATATATATATATATATATATATATATATATATATATATATATATATATATATATATATAGTCTAAATTTAGTCATCGTCACCCTAGTAGTTTTGAAAACCATCAGTTCCTGTGTTATGATTACTTATCATGAAACTTTCTGTGCATTTGAATTTGTGTTTTCTACTTTGAACAAGTCATTCTATTCATTTAATCCATTCATGGCGTAGAAATCATGCATTGCTGATTAGGATATGATTATATATAGATACTTCAGTCTAAAATATTCAAGAACATAAACTATATAGGTATTGAGATGGATGGAAGTTCACATTCACCTTCCAGATGACATCATTAGTACACACTTTTGAGCTTTAGTCATTTCAAGACTAATAAAGACAGTCAAAACATTTTGGATTATGCTTATTGCCCCATATCACTGCTCATATGAGAAAACAACTTTTTTACCATGTGAGCTAATTGTCACACATCTTTTTGAATCAACGATATTGGTGTGTATTTAACAACAGAAGTTGATTTGGCTCCTAATCACTTTACTTAAGATCATCATTTTAAAATTTCACATTTATGGACAAGGGACTCTTATTAGCATTCCTTCTGTAAGTTATAATTCTACCGTGAATTTCTATTGTCTGGTCAATAGAAGTTTAGATAATTCTTTTCACAACTAGAACCATTGCGCACCAATATATGTGCTAACACAGTGATATATTTTTTTATCACTTTCAGTATACACAAACAAAGTCAGTTAGCTTTGCATATTCATAATGAGGAAAATTACAATCCATACTTAGCTTGCTGGAAATAATACGACCATAGTCATAAATAGTTCAATGAAACAAATATTAAACCTAAGACTATGAAGTCTGTTCAAAGCCTAAAATAAATTGATACGCTTTTATCTTACTAACCATTACAAAGAAGGTACTTACTTACTTACTTACTTACGCCTGTTACCCCTAATGGAGCATAGGTCGACGACCAGTTTTCTCCAATTTACTCTGTCCTGGACCTCCTTTTCTAGTTCTGTCCAATTTTTGTTCATTCTTCTAATTTCTGTCTCCGTTTCTCGAGATAATATATTCTTTGGGCTCCCTCTGTTCCTTTTACTTTGAGGGTTCTATGTGAGGTCTTGCGGTGTGAGGCAATTGGGTACTTTTCACAGTGTGTGTCCTATCCACTTCCACCACTTGTTCCTGATTTCCTCCTCCACTGGAAACTGGTTTATTCTCTCCCACAGTACGTTGTTGCCGATGGTGTCTGGCCAACGAATCGGAAATATTTTGCGTAGACAACTCTTAATGAATACATGGATGGTGATATACAATAAAGAATTAAAAACTCATTCTTACTACACTAATTGCAAACAAAACGAAGTGATAGTTTACAAGGTTAAATTATAAATGAAAATGTAAAAAGAAATAAACAGCAGCCAAAATTACTACCGGCTTTATATAAATTCAAGCTACTAATTTATTCTTGGAAACTTTTGTTGAGGTAAATGATATTGATAACTGGTTACTGTTGACACTAGATGTTTTGACAAACTGTAAAACGTCTTACTGTGATCCATATCTATTAGAAACACAAAAATTTACGTAAATAATGCTAATCTGAAAGCTGCATTAGGATGTGAAATTCACTGATATTGATTAATTGAGCTTTAAACATGGTTGTGTTTTTTGGAAAAACTAAAATAAGCTTAAGCAAGTTGCTTCTAAAAACTATACACTACGTGTTATGAAATAAATCAATATGAAAATTTTAGCGTGGAAAAGATAAGATAAAGTAACTCTTTTTTGTCATCATCTGTCGAGGATTTATATGGAGAGTAAGATACCATTAGACTAGAGGTTTGTCTCAGGGTTTTATTGTAGATTTGAACAGTCGCTACAAGCCCATCTGTTTCCTTAACGTGCATATGGAAACAAAATCCAGTATTACTGGATTTGTTCACATCTGCCTTTCTGTTAAAAAACGCTAGTGTTTTTTTTTGTATCTAAGTCTACGATTTTTGATGGCATTCTAGTCTCCGTCACTACTACTTTGTGGTACTTGTGCTTAATTCGTCGACTGACCATCTGATGGAATTTATACTTTTGTGAGCATCTGCGGATATTTCACAAGCCGAGTCATAGTTTTTTTGTTTTTGCGATCTATTTTTGCCTCTTTTTTATTAACAGGATTCGAGAGGAAAGAATGGTAGGAGTAACTCTTCCTTCCCTTTAGTCTAACATCCCCTGCCTTTCAAAGTAGGTTCTTAGTAATCAAATCTATGCCTCATAATGAATGAGTGGGTTTCAGGAGAGTATGGGATTATCCCGATCCCAACCACTCAGTTAGCTATTAGTTTATGTGACTAAGTCTTACTATCCAGGCGGCTCTATGTAGAAGTGCAAGTCGGTCTTTAACCCTCATCTCAAGAGTCATAGTTTTTATTTTAGTGAATTTATGATATAAACATTGTATAACTATTGAAATATAAATCCAACTAAAGAAATTCTATGTTTCAAATCCAGCAACAAACTAACCTGAATCCAAAGTAAAAAAAAGTAACTTAATCTTTTCAATTAAATTATTTTTTTTTCAACTTTGTTTTAACCATCATCTCACATTGATTGCTCTTTCCTTTTTTTTCCAATAACTTACTTACTTACTTACTTAGGCCTGTTACCCCCAATGGAGCATAGACCGCCCACCAGTTTTCTCCTACCAACTCTGTCCTGGGCTTCCCTCTCCATCTTTGTCCAATGTTTGTTCATTCCTCTCATATCTTTCTCTATTTCTCGGCGTAATGTATTCTTTGGCCTTCCTCTTTTCCTTTTGCCTTCAGGGTTCCATGTCAGGGCTTGTCTCGTGATGCAGTTAGGTGCTTTTCGTAGTGTGTGTCCTATCCACTTCCATCGCTTCCTCCTGATTTCCTCCTCCACTCTTTTTTCCAATTAATTTATCTATTATTTTCTTTTCTAACAATTTTGCTTTTATTTTTCCTAGATCATCGGCCATTGAATTATTTGGAAGTATTTAACGCATCATCAGCTGCAAATACAACAATTTACGTTGGTGGCATAACTAATGAATTAACTGGTTAGTGCAACAATACTCAATAAACTTCATAATTTTTCTTTTTTTTTAAAATTTTGAATGGACTTTTTTTATTGATTTCATTGAATCATATTCTATTCACATTATTTCTAATGTCATATTCATTTGAATCTAATTTTAAACTCTTTATTTATTTATTTTTGCATTACTTCCTTTTCTACTTAAATGATTTAAAAATCAAAACGTAATTTTATGCGAGAGTGAGAGAGAGAGAGAAAAAGATACAATAGGAAATCTTTTAATTTCCACCTTCCTTTTTTTTCTCTATTTCACCATTAAAAAAATAATAATAAGCAAACAATCAAATAAAGCTTAATGAGTTATAATTATGAGCAAAGTGAATTCAATGTTCATATTATTATTATGCTTTTCAGTGTAAATTGTATGGGCATTTACAATAAATACTTAATATTTTTATTTGGTTGAACAAACAAATTAAGGTGGAGGTTATAAAATGAATGAAAAACATAATTAACTTTTATTACACATTTTATAAGATAAAAATATAATATTATGCTTTATTTTTTAAGTGATTTTTTATTCATGAAATTTAAGGAAATAATGTCATGCAGAAGTGGACAATTATTCAATTGATTTTATGGTAACCAATCGAACTGTAACGTTACGCGCCATTGAAATGATTTGAAAAATATATGCATATATGCCCGGATAATAATATGGCTAAGTTAAATAGAAGCATTGCATATGCTAATTAATTTGGTTTGTGGGGTTTCCATTTTGTAAATTTAACAAACATTAGATACGGAGTGATTATATTCAGTCATAGGTAAAAAGCGTTGTAAAACTTGGAATAGCTATGACTACTTAGCCCAACCGAAAAGATGAAAAACTTGATTGATAATCAGTTAGGGTTGTAGTAGGTGCTATCATATCCTTTTTTGCATAAGGATACTTCAACCGAAACGTTAAAACTACATTAGTTCATTACTGTTAGCCATTCTAAAGTGGGGTTCATTTTACACGACAGAGTTGTTCACTTTCATTCCAGCTCTTCTCCCTTACTCAGGTTTGCAGATGGAATTAGCTTCAGAGGGAATAAGATAATGAATATCACGTAGAAATATACATGCATATATATATTCAGTTTCTTGTTGTAATTTTCTTACCATTCGAATTATATGATCTCATTTCACTGATCTATATGTATGTATAATGGTGCCCAGTGAAACTGTTTTTACAGTATTAATCCGTAGACGATATTTCCACTAAGTAATCCTCTTACAGTACTTAATATTTTGTTCAATAATTTTGTAACATCGAATTTTTGTTATTCATCGTTTGACAAAACTTATGTGAGTTGATGGTTTAGTTTTCATATCGGTTTAGTAATAAATGAATTGACCATTATTGAATTACTGGTAAGCAGTTATATAATCAAAAAAAAGTCCCCTATTTTTAGGTTACCGAGTGTCCTTAATGTAGAATCCATAGTTGATTCTGATTTCGGTAAAACATTTCTAGAAGTTTAGATATGCGCTTTGCCCAGGTGAATTCCAAAAGACAATTGATCTGGGTAAGAAACGGTTCTATTATTAATCAAAAAAGGAAATACAGATAATTACCTAAACAATATTACACTGTTCTACCTCCAAAATAAGACAATATGTTTCCAATTCTGGAAAAATGCTTCCGTATAGGTCCGAAATTGCACCCTTCCAGTGCAGATTCACGTTTTACCCGCCAAGGTATCAAATCCGATATGGCTGAAGCCATAATTAAGTATCAATTTAAACAACAAAATACAATTCAGAAGGAAACATAGAAATTTCAATAACGTTACAAAAATAGACACTATGATAAATCCATATATTAACATCACAAAATGGGATTAAACAGACCACCAAAATGTAGCACAGAAAGAGTTATTGAGAAAATATTACGAATATATACATGAAGGGATTTTCCCAAAACAAAACCTTCAAAATGGATTCTACACTTAAGCCACGTAAGAAACATTCTTAGAAAAAAAATCATTTATCCAGCTGTTGATATTTTTTTCTTATAGGCATCAGTACATTTTTAGATCGCTAAAAGTCAGTAATTCATGTCTTCCAATTGTCAAGTGAAAAGCTATTCAACTATTTGAAAATCTTAAAAACGATTATTGATTATATATGAATATGTTATGATAACTTTTCTTTGTCAAAAAATGATTAAATGCTCTCGAAAATCTCTTTGAATTATTATGTAAACGCATATTGAAAAGGTTAGAAGGCCGACCTCAGAATTCGAACTTTGTATGCTTGTAACCGGCCAGAAAATGAACTGAAAATAGAACACAAATCTTATATACCTGAGGTCACTGAATATCATAGAAATTTCTTTGGGTTTTAATGGAGCTACTGTAATTTGAATATCTCATTGACGAATTGGGAAACATTCAATAGGTTAAGCTACAAATAGAATTGACTAACACTGGTTGTTTATAATATCAGTATTTCACATTATAACCGACTCATTGAGTACAAGAAGTTCGATCACATAATATAAAAACTTGAATGTCTTTTAAAATGAACCCAGTAAAATAGTTAATCTAGATATCATTGATATGATATTTTTACAACTTCATAAGAACACTTATCCAAACAGTTTTTAATGATAGGAAAGTTGAAAAGGTTAATCGTTTAGATGAGTGGTGTAATCTAATTGATACAACTTGCCTAAAATGAATTTCATTTGAAGGAATAGTAAATCATTTATCAAGAATGATGCCAGAAAGAGGTTGAAAAATGAATTTAACTTCTCTCTGTAGTGTTGCATTTATTAACTTTGATCAGTAAAACTTGAGCAACACACTGTTATGCTTACAGCACTGAATAAAATGAAGTTATTATACAGATAGACAATATTTACAGCTAATAGAAATAAACTTTCTTCAACTTTTTAGGCAAAATAATTTAATAAAACTTAAATTTTTAATAATGAAATGACAATTTTTTCTCCCCAATCAACTCTAATGATTTTATCTTGAATCTGTTTCTTTTTTTTATAGAAAAACTTCTTCAAGATTCATTCAAGCAGTTTGGAGAGATCAAGGAAATTAGAATATTTAAGGATAAGGGTTTCTCGTTTATCAGGTAAGTGAATACAGCAAAAATTGTGTGCTCTTAGATTGATTCAATTTAAATTTTGCCTTCACTGTTATCAGTCGTGAAAATATGTATCTCTCTTTTTTTTGAAAAAAAGAATATATATAATGTTGTATACACTTCAGCAATTCAATACAGTTTAATGAAACAAATGATATCAATGTAATGAGGTCAACTACTAGTAGGTCATTTGATTTGTTGGCTTCATTTGATGAGTGATTTTATGCATTTGTACCAATGATGTGTTAATATTCAAACTGTTATATATTGCTAAAAAACATATCTAACAGTTATTAATTTAGCTGGTTTTTTAAATAATTTTATTTCAGTTCAGAAGTTTTATTCCATTTCATTTATTTTTTTTGTTTAGAATTAATGTTATTACACATTTGAAATTATTAATCAATCATGGTTAGACCACTTTTAGAAACCTGGAGGCACTGAACGGCCGTTTCGTCCTGGCATGGGACTCATCAGCAGTGCGCATCCACGACTCCTGCCGCCCAGTGCTTCCAGGTTTCTGATGGTGGTCTAACAATGATTGATTGATCATTTCAAATGCGTAGAAATACTAATCTCCATATCTCTAATTGAAAATAATGTTATCACTTGCATTTTTTTACAATAATTACTTGTGTGGAAAGATCTACACTATGTTTAACACATTGAAGCGTACACATGAAATCGGACAAAATAGGAATTCCTTATTATTATACCTCTTAATCAATGGATATTTGACTGATATATGCTTCACTGTTATCAATCACAGCTTACTTTATGATACTCTGTGGTTGAGTGATATTGTGATGTTCTGAAATCCTTCACATAGTGCATCTTGGAGTTAACTGACTATTAAATTCATGTTAGATGACAATAAACTCTGTCATGAAATTTAATTAATGCCTACAAACAATTTAACTAGAGTGTGCAACTTAGAATTCCAGTAGCGACGAATTAATTCAATTGCAGAATACTATCATGAGCTTAGTAAGAATGGTTAAAGAAACATACCATGTTATCAAGTATATACCTTTGCTAAAAGAAAAAGTACTCTCATTCGGAATCCGTTAAATAAGCTAATAAACTGTTGGAATCTATAAATATAAGCATTATTTCTAGAACTACGTTTTTTATTAGATATTTCCTCAAGTATCTACATTTTGCGTCCAATGTCTAAATTGACTGCATTGTCTATCTGAATATATTACATGTTCCTGGTTTCCACTTAATGAATTAGGGTTTGGTAGTCAGGAAGCTGTGGACATAGGCCTTATGTTGTCTAGTATTTGTCAGCAGTGCATATCCGACACTGCAAACTGACCAGTGGTTAACGTGAGATTCATATCTGAGTCATCTAAAATCATGATCAGAAAACTTAGTATAAGCTGTGGCCTTAATAGAAATTAGACCGTTGATACTCGGTTAAACCTAAATAATGTTGTTTTTAGCTCAATAAACAATGAGCATAAATATTACACAGTAAACTTCTGGTTCGTGCAAAACTGTTAGATTTTTTATTTGATTAGTTGTTTTCATTTTTTATATTGTTTTATGTAAATCTTATTTGATGTATTAAATTACTTAAAAAAGATGTTAAGTTTTTATTGAATCAATGTAATTTTCATCTGATCGACTTTAATTAACTTATTTACTACAACCCCGCCAACATAAACATGCATGTAATATTGTCATTTAATCACATGAATTTATCATCTTTTTAATATCAGCAGGAAATTTCACAATTTCTATTGTACATCATTTAACGAATAGTTAATCATCTAGTAAAGTTATTCTTTTGGTGACTCAAAAACTATTAGTATTTAACGTGAACCAGTTGACAAATAATGAATTTAGGTCTGTGAATGTTCCTTTTGATTAGCTTGTATTACTTAATCAAAAATGAGGTAAAGGTGATTTGGTTTAGAAATTTGAAAACCTGGATAATTGGACAGTGAAGTGAAAACGTTATCCCTTTAGTTACATTGACTAGATACCCAGAAGAAAACAATAATATAATTTATACTTGTCTGTACTCTTATAGATGCATTTGGAGTAACATGTTTTTACATACCTAAAGAATGATATATTTGAGTCGGATATAATAATGGTTATCAAAATGACTGGAAAACAACAAGCATCACTTTTAGTCTACTTTGTGCAGAGCACTAACATCAGGCCTTGTCAACCTGACACACAAAAACGTAGAACAAACTCCTTATTAACATGGTAAATTAGATAAAATGATTTGATTTTCCCTACTATTTTATGGTCACCTTTTCAAAATCTCTACTAAAGTTTACTTATTATGTTGGCTGCGTTAGATTCGACGTGGGGCTCATGTTTTTATTGTGGTATTAGATTCCATGTACGGTTCACTACTTTGGGGGCCCGCGATCTTTCTCCATTAGTTACGAACACTTAAACATGCTATAAAATTATTTTTCCCATCAGTTTCCATATAATATACTTAGGCGAACCCCGTTAGTGCGACGGCCGTAATAAGAAGCCAAATACGTATTTGGTTGGATGAATTTATTACAGACAAATGTTCATGCGAGAGAGCCAACTCCATTCGACCAAGCATGACTAAGAAATGATAGTCAGACAAAAATAAGCCAGACATTTAATGAGCGAGATAGGTGTGCGCACACACGAATAAGAGCAACGCAGACACGGTCAAAAGACAAGAGGGCTAATTAATCTTTCCAGAAGCTAGACATAACAGCACTCACTACAATTACGTCCATTCCATCTTAGCTAATATCTCTTCATTACAATGGCTTAGTCTTTTTATTATTTTTTATGACATTGTTCCTTTGATTAGATGACTTGATCCTGAATAAAGAGAATACTTAATAATATCAGTTTTTATGGTAATATAACAAATTCTATATTCGTTATTTCTTTATGGTTTATTGCTCGATATCAATGTCAACTTCCTTAGCTGATGTACAGACATTGTTAAGTATAATAATATTATTGTTTGCAACTTTAGGCTTTTTTCATCCAATAAAAAACCTGGCATTAGTATAAACTTGTTTACTTTCACACATAGTTTAATCAGTGTTTTGTGCGAACTGCTTGATCACACTAAATAAATGTCGAAAGTATTGTTTTTAAACATTCAATAAATATTCCTATTCCCATTAGTTCTATGACGAAATACTTCTGATTTGAAAAAAAATAATCAATCATATATTGCAAATGTAATTTCATGCATAACATTTTAAACAGTATTGCTTTGACCATTTGAACGTTATTTATCTCTAAGAAATCCTGATAAGAACTTACATTTAAACAGTTCCGATGATATATTTAGAAAGATCAAGAACAGCATAGTTTGCAGGATAAGATGTATCGATTTTATTTTAAGGATTTTGATCATCTTTATACAGCCTACAATTACGATCGTTGATTATTATGAACTGATATCTAACATACATTTGTTTGTAAAGTCTAGGCGAATGTTTGAAATGTAACCAAGATCATAAAAATAAGAAGAAAAAGACAAATCATATATGCATAAACATAGATAAGAGAGAAGTATATTTATATTTTAAAAAGTAACATTATAGTAACCGTATAATTGGTGTTATAATATCTGGTCATCATAATATCAAGTTCAAAGTGGGCTACATTAGCGCAATAAAATCAAAAATTTATTACACAACCATTCACCGTGATGCGAAACAAAATTAAATTATGATGTGAATATGTGTAAAATTACGTAGGAGATGAAGAAAGGGAGTGAATCGATTCATTCGACGTAAATGAGGAAAACTCATCTTTCTTTAAAATACAGATTAGGTTGGAAAGTCCAACAGAGACAGTCTCCACAAAACCGAGTAGAATCAGTGCTTTTTGTCTGTGAATCATTTTATTTGTGTTACGTAAGTCTACATTATTTCTACTACATAAAAGATGAATAAAAATTGCATTTACATAGGTTTTATTACCATGTAGTCAGAGGTTCTTAGGAAATGTGTTTAGGTAACCTAATAAAAATCGTTCTGTCTAAGTATTTTACTACTGCTTGTAGAATGTAAATCATATCTCACCTGAATGGAAGAGTGATAAGCACAACTTTTTGAACGAACAGTAGTTTGATTTTAATTTTCAAGATATCTTTTTATCCACATTTTGTATTAAATTTCTCATGTTGTCCATTTTTTACAAGATTTTTTGTGGAATAGTTAATATCTTATTGATCTTACCATCTGAGTAAAAAAATCCAGATCGGTAAAATGGCGTTCTAATTAATCAGATCAAAGGCTGTTATTACATTGTTATATCTTACAGTATTTATTTGAAGCATTACTATTTTCTAGCGCTTTTAATTATGATATAAAGTACTTATTTTTATTTTCAATAATTTTAATGTCTACATATTATTTTGAACATCTCTATCCATCTTCCGACAGATTCGATTCACATGTGGCTGCTACTCAAGCAATTGTTACAATGCATGGTAAGATTGTTGGTGATCAAGCCTGTAAATGTTCATGGGGTAAAGAACCAAGCTTTACCAACAAACAAGGATTGGTGAGTGATTCATTATAAGAATATATATATGTTTATATGTATATAAAACTATTTCAACAACTTTGGTGTTTCATACAAAACATATTAGTTTTATACGTAAAATGTTACATGACCATTTTGTCTAAATGTTAAGTTTGTTATACCTTGACTAATCAATTACGCATGGAAAACTCTCTTACAACTTTAATAACAACTTTAAAACAGAACATTTAATAAAAGTTTATTAAATCATCTGTTGTAGATTTAGATGTTTTCTCAGAAAAAAAATATCTATCATTTTCAAAAACTCTTTTCTTTACACGGATCACCCCTAAAATCTCTCCAATTTCATTGAAATTCATTTTGAATTTGAAAATAATTCTTACATAAAAATCATGAAAAATAAACCTTTTTTGCTACTGAACACTATTAAGTTTTACATCCACTGATTTTTATCTTCATGTCAAGTTGTCCAATATTATTTATATATGAATTCATTTTTATGGATAAAAACGTTTTCTATGTTACAAAACCATTCTACACTTCAACTGTCGTTAGTTTTCATTCAATACCTCTACACATATGAAATTATGGGGTTGTTTTTTCCAGTTTAGAAAATTTAGTAAAGAACTGAACAACCCCTTTAGTTGATTTTCAATCACCTCTCGCTTATTTTTTTCGTTATCTATAACATCATACCTGATTTAGTTAGTTAGATTTGATGAGAAGGAAAAAAATTTGCATTGAGAATGTAATTCTGAATTGTCATCAGATTTAATTTTTTCAATTTAGTGAAACAATTTCAGTCACTACTTTTCTCTTGCGTTTTTTTGCGTAATTGTTAAACTGCTACTGCTCTAGGTAAGCTATTTTTTCCTGATTTAAATTTCCACAATTTTGTTCCACTTTTTAATGACAATGTAACATTATGACTAAGACATCAGAATTGAAAATAAAAACGTTAAATTTATATCACTTGTCTATATATATATATATCTTTATCGTATCTAAGAGATGTTGTTCTAAAGATAACTGCACAGTAATAATCGATATATCTGTGCTTAGTTTCTAGTCTCTGAACAAAATTTTTATATCTGTTAACTATAGTCTACTGGCATAGTAAGTTTCTTGTGTGAGCTAATAAATCTTATCAAAAAATTAGACACACTCTCCATTAAGAGATGAAATGAGCTGATTTCAAAGTACCAGCGAGTTAACTGAAAACTTTAGCCTAAACGAGTTGGAAGTAACTTTTCAGTATGTGAAATCAAAGTCCTAGATCAAGGAAATATATTTAGATAATTCATTTTTGAACAGTAATTTCACTAGTAAAGAACATTACTTGTATTTTTCTAGAGTTGAATTGTTTTACGTATAACTTGTGAAGTAACCATTTTTGTGATGCGCAGGCTTTATCAATTTTAAGGAAGTAAATAATTGTTATTCTACCACTTTTGGTTAGTTCCCCTAGTTTTGATTAGGTAAATAATTATTCAATAAGCGGTCACTTTGATTGTAATTTTGTAAAACTGTAAGCATACTTTTGTTTTAGTCATTTGAAGCTATATCACATATCGATCCAGCGTGTACATTTCATTGATTAAAAAACTTATTCACTTAAATGAACTCATATCAGTGGTTCTGTCATTTTTCATCAAACCATATTAACTAAACTATTGAAATATACCAGAACTTTAGTTCAGTTTTATGCCAGCATTAAAATCTTTTTTTTAAATAAATACATAACATAGTCAGAGGACTTCTTTTAGCAAAAAAATTACTCCAAGGCTTACTTTGTTAAAACAAAGAAGTAAAACTCATTTCTTTCAACAACGAAAATTGTTTGGAGCAGGACATTGATCAAATATTGAATTAATTATTGAATCCCCTTTTTACTTTAACTGTCTGCAGTGTAATTAACTTTTGAACTGGTTTTAAAATCTTGAGAAGAAATTTTCGCACCTACACAATTTTTGAAATTTATATAATTTTCATAACAGGCAAAGCGTCTGTCATCTGCTCTGTTCGTTCCTGCTGTAAATCATAATATGAACGATGACCGCAATGGTATCCTATTGAGACCTCAAGGTTCTTGGCTCACGTCTCCATCAAGACAAAATAATTTGATTCTAGACCTACCAGCAAAGAAACTTATGTCTGAAGAATTACATCCAGCTAGTATACATTGTATAGTACCAACAGATAAAACGCAAACCATGACTAATGGACAACATATATCAGTGAGGAATATTTTACAAGATGCTAACAAGTTGAGCCCGTCTGTTATCACTCCGACAACAACCAATCCTTTATGGCCTTATACATGCTGGTTCGCTGGAACTCCTAATCAAGATACTCCAATACCTGCATTATTACTGGATAATGTGACAAGAGGAACATTAACAAATCAAACTGTGATTCCTTTTATACCACCGACAGACAACAATCAACTACTTTTAAATTTATCAGCTATAGATTTTACTAAAAGGTAAGTGTGTTAAATAATTTTCAAGAAATCAAGCGAAATTCTTTACAGTAATAAATTAAATATATGCTGAAAATATAAAACCACGGAATTCAAATGCCTTCGCAGGTATGATCGGCTTGGTATGGACAGCAATGTTTCGTTTGTGTCTATTAGAAATTGTCACATAAATTTGGTTTCTAAGCTTGCATTGGCATGATCATGTTTGCGATAGTGGAGCTAAAACCCTTCTGACTTAATAAATGGTTCCAAATGTCGAGAACACAGACTTGTTATCTTTCTGATCCTAGAATAAAAGGAGTTTACTTCAACCGTGTAGTAAACGATTCTCTCAAGCTAATTATTTTACTACATCATCTAATAGGAATCTTCTAAATATCAAATAGAGCTATTTCTATTTTTTATTAAATAAATTTACAGCAAACTGTCGCAAAATAAATGAGTTGTAAGCCTGAAAACTTCAAACAATTCCAGTTACCGAAATTTTTATATATAATTGGCTTGAAAATAAGTCTGAGTGATTTTTATCCATTGTATTGCATCATCTAACTTTATTTGGCACAGTTTTTCTGATTTAACACAATCGATAAGAACTAACAGGTTTAATATATTGAAAATATATTAAGTGTTCAAAATGTAACTATAGTACACAGCTTCTTATCATAATGATAAAATATACAGATAAAACATATTCAATAAAGTATATCGTTTTAACAGTTACATTATGTTGAACATAAGACTCAGTTATATTCGTTTTTTCCCAGGGTCTTGATAGTTATGTAATGTGGGTAGAAAAACCGAACTAGCAATTGGTCACTAACACAAAACTCGAAGCACTTAACAAATTTCGTCTAAATAACTTGCATGGAAATTCACTTTGAATAACGAGCATACTGCCTCATAATTGATAAAATTACAATACGTATATATATGAATGAAGAATATTCTCTCCAGGTTATATATATATATATATATATATATATATATATATATATATATATATAATTAGTAATCCAAAAAAGGCCATGTTTAAAGCAAATTACATCATTTAACAATCTACATATGAGTTTAGGATTATTTGCATTATAAATCGTTAGTAATTAGGTGACTGATATGAAGTAATTACTTGAATAATACTATACGTTAAATAAAACTATGAGACTAATGGTTAGCATCAATATGGTCAACATGAGGTAAGAGATAATAATGTAATTACAAGTCAGGAATCACGAAATCTATAGGATAACGTTAATGAGCTACAAATTAGTGAATAGGGGTGGATGGTGAATAAGTTTTTTTTGAAAAGTTGCAAGCGTTTTAATAATGATAATAATAATAACAATAATAATGATAACAATGGTAGTAACATTAACAATAATAATAAGCTTTGTGAATATGATAGTTTTAGGCCACGAAAATGCAGAGAGAGAGGTTGTATGAACATTAACCAGATTTTTATTATCAAAACGATTATTAACTAAACAAGGCGGCCGTCGGCCAAGTTAAAAGAAGTAGCTGAATTTTCTTCCTTTGAATGCAAGCTTCAGCTCTTTGATCCGAGTAGCTATTGCTTCAGCCGTCCGAAGGATTCCTGATTCGGCAGATTTAGGCAGATTGCTGTTACCACCAATTGTAATTGAAAATGATTGTTCCATATTGGCTGTATGGTTCATTTGTACTACGTGGACTAGAATCGCACTGTTAACAGATTTAACTACACTTTTGCTTAAGCATATATAGGATATGCTGGTGAGCACGAAAATACAAGTTCCTAGAACATCTGTTAGTGTAACTTGCTCCACAAGATAACATGATAGCGATGGAAGGGTATGGCACATCCAGCTAACGACTCACAAATAGTATGAAATGTGCTTTCTGGATTCTTTTGCTAGTTACCCCCACTACTCTAGTTTTCGTATCGTTCAAAAAATCAAACAAACATTTCGCTGATCACATTTCGTAATCAGATTTCACAGAGTATCTTTTCTATAGAGCATCATCATTGCTATTTTATAAACCAGCCCAAATTTACTCTATCATTAATATTATTTCAACCTGTTGAATCATACTGATTTTGACATTTCCGCAAATATAAGTACAAACTAAGATGGATATGTATCTAATATCAGAAAAACTACTCCATAAATGAATTTTTTTCATGAATATATTTGTCTAGGTAAGGGACATTTATGATAAAAAAGATCTGTCAAGTACTATTTTTTAAGTTAGAACCCTGATATTCAGAGGAAAAAGACCATTATAAAAGATAAGGCGGAAATTACAAACTAGTCGCCTGAAAGCAAATTAATTGTTTTACAATAATAAAACGATAAAAACTCATACTGTCTGGAAAACTTGCTTGTATAGCATTATCCTATTTATTCAGATTGATTAAGTTAAATCATTATAAGCATATTTAATCGATATACTCTGTAAGTTAAACCTTTGTAAATGAATCAATCTAATTCATTTACAGAAACTCTTCTTTTCTAAAAATTTGTAATATAGAAAGAAAATTGCACTCTCACTCTCAAACGTTTTAACTTGACAATCTATTTTAAAGAAGTCATTAATGTGGATGTTAAATTTTTCGCTGAATAATTGATGATTATTTTTACTCAGTAGATAACCATCTACTGACTTATTAAACAACCTTATTTCTACAGTTAGTTTTACTTACCTTATTTTAGCATATGAAATTGCTAGTCTTATAAACATCTAGTCAACTTATTGAGCAGACAAGACAGTTTCATGGAATATATCACCAACTCATCTTAGATAACCAATGTAGTCAGACATGTAAACCAATTGATACCAACTCAGTGTTCTAAAGTTTGGACGCTCGGCTAAACATCTTCGATTCAGTTCTTAGTGGGGTCGTAGTTACTCCGTTGGGGATGTTAGATCCCCAGAACTCGCTTGATAAATGCCTTATTTTGGATTTCACGTTTGCAAACATGGGCTGATCAGTTGACCTTGAGATTCCATTTCCCATCACTGTGATGGGCTGCTGTGTATTTTAGTATGCTATCATCGTAACTGTCCCAAGGACGTTACTATGATGAATAAATAAACGAGAGTTGTGTGCTTGATTGTATTGTGATTGCTGGGTGATTGTAGAATAAACTTTTGACGCTTATCAAGACTTCTGTTTTACAGCTTGAGATTCAAGGTAGCCTACCTGGACGCTGGTTCATTGTCTCGTTCGCGTTTATCGACTAAGGTGAACTCGTAATAGCTTCAAGCGTACTTAGTGACGAACATAACAACTCAGTACTGACAAGTTACATAATGTGATGAAACAGCTTTGAAAGCTTCCTAGTTTCTGGTAATTTACTGTGCTCGTTTCTTAACATAATTTATTAAATAAAAAAATTGATCTAAATAGATTTATTGTACCACTAAAACAGTTGTCATTATGAACACTATTAATTCAGGAAGTTTTGCAAACAAAAGGGAAGTTAATAATCTCATAAAATTTACTAGTAAGCATCATTATGAAATGTTGAACAATCCATTGTTCATTGTATCTCAAATGTTGTTCAACACTTTTAATAATTATATTAAAACAAGTAAAACAAATTGATCATGATGATCACTTATAAAGACATTTATTTTTCAATTTACAATATATTGCTGTCAAAACACATGTTAATATATCTTCCCCTAATTGTAATTCCCAAGATGCATGAGTTATTTGAATTCAATTGCACCTTAAATGATTATTGAACTTTGATAAACATGCTAATTAAATTCTACTTGTAATCAACTTGAATACATACCTTGCATAGAAGATCAGTAAAACCTGTTTTGTAAATCTATGATAACAAAATATATTTTGTTTAATTGCTATTAACAACCTCAGGGTGACATCGAATTCGCTTAAAGTTTAAGCGTCTACATCATAAAGCAAGTGTTTAAGATCTCAAGAAGAAACAACGTTTTTATAGTGTTAAGGAATCATTCTATCCTAATACGAATGTCTTAAGTTTAATAGGATGGTCATTCTGTAGAAAACAAAAAAGAGGAATTTGTTCTTTGAAGTTTAAATACCAATATACTCGTTGCACAGATCGACTAAATGTGGTTTAATTCCAAGTGTCAAAAGAAACATTTCATGAAGGCTTTATTTTGAAACAGTTTGATTTGATTCTGATCAATTGCTAATTTATATTTTCTGTTTTTATTATTATTGTTTCAGTTATCAAACAGATAAACCAGAGATTAATATTATTCCCAACATGACCAATGCTCAGTTCACTGATTGTCAAGTTACTTTTCCAAATATTGGTGAAATTCACAATGTATTAACAAATTATAAAACTCCTTTATATCAAAATGTTAACAATAACAGTAATCTTAATAATAGTAATAATAATAGCAGTAATAACGTTATTTCACCATGTGATATACAACAGATTTTCAATTTAAAAAATATAACCATACCAAATTTGGATCCGACTGGTTATTCCACATTATCTAATGTACCATTAATTACATTTTCAGCGTATCCATTAAATTCTAGTAATATTCAACCATTTAATTATACAAATGTTACTGCTTCTCCTGCTGCTGCTGGTGGCGGTCCTGCTGTTCACACAACAAATAATAACAATAATAATGGAGTTGATAAGAACTCAATGAATCAATCTGCTCAATTATCAAATTTTGGACAGTATAATGTATATAACGCAACAACAGGTAAGCATATTTACATATCATCACTTTCGAATGATTCGCCATGTACACAATTAATAAGTAATTTTTCAGCATCCCAGTCACCAGAATGGCCATTACCACCACAAGCATCAACAGCAACACTAACCATTCATTCAACTACAGAATCAACTGTAAACAACAGTAAGAAGCGACCACATCAACTATTTAGTTCCAATAAAAAATTCAAATATGTCTAATTATTATAAAATTTAGTCATAGAGAACAACATATAAATGTGAGACTTTTTTATCTTTACTAAATGTCACTAACTTTTTATAAACAAATAACATAATGTGAGTTAGTATGAAAAAAAAATTAAACTTGTTTCATTTTAGTTCACATTATATTATTATATTATGATTCTGTGAAACGTTGAAATATGCAAAGATAGTTCACATCAACTAATGCTCTTGATAAATAATCCATAAGTGTTATTGTACCTAGGCTATCGATCTCTGAAATGCATCACGAATCTAGTTTAATATTCTGTCCGTTAAATAATTGCTAACTCTTTCAAGGGAACTGTTGATCTCAGGGGAAATTTTCTTAATTTATCAAACTTAAATTTCCTATTTTATTCTATTTGAGTAAGCAATGTTTTTGATTTTGTTTACAAGAAATAATTCAGACTGTGAAATATATCTCACAAGAAATAACATATATTAGAAATTTTATCAGGGCGGGAAGTATATTGTGGTAAGTTATTAGCAAGGGCATGTAGCTTAAGGCCACTGAAAATAAACAGCAACCTATATGTTTCTAATCTCACTTGAAATCATTCTAACAGTCAGCTTACGTCAAAGATACAATTCGTGCACAATACCGAAGGTCCCGTGTTCGAATCATGTGAGGTGCATGAGTCGTGGATGCGCACTGCTGATGAGTCTCATTCCAGGACGAAACGGCCGTCCAGTGCTTCCAGGTTTCTAATGGTGGTCTAACAATGATTGATTGATGATTCCAAAGAGATCAGCTTATTGAATCTCATGTCTTTTAAATACTTAAAAATAACAGTGGGGATTTTAATTCACTGTCAAATCTCAATATACATAAAATGCATATCGATTATTTGTAATTAATTAATTCATTAATCTAGAGAATAAGAGTTTTTGTGCCAGAACGAAGGCCTGGGTTTGCTTCCCGTGAACGGGAGTTGTGGATGCGCACTGCTGATGAGCCCTATACTAGGACCAAATGGCCATCCAGTCCTTCCAGGTATCTAACGATGGTCTAACAATGAGTCATTCATGATTTCAAGACAAAACTACGATCTCCATTATATCTTATTTCTTTGTTATAATTGAATCGATCAAATAGTTAATTCAGTGAAACTAAAAGTAAATGGTTATAAATGCGAAACTCCAGCTGAACACATAAAAGCAATCTTTTTTCTCATTTACCGACTGACTGTATTAACCATGATATTTATTTGCCTTTGGTCACATCAAATAATTATCAAACATTCAAAAATTAATTTTGAAACTAGACAGAGCTTGAAATGATAAATTTGTCTTTATTCATATAAAATAAATGAACAAAAATCATTGCTGAGGCATTTATTGTATTACTTTATCTATGATCGATCACAATCGATATGTGTTTATAAATAATTTTTACCTGTGCACATCAATATTAATTAGAAAATTTAGTCTCAAATAAGACAAAACATCAATTCACTATGTCATTATCAAAATAAGCTTAGACATAAAACAGATTTCAACAATAAAATTGCTTCATCCAATCATAGGATCTCTGTTCAACAAATTTCATATTAAGCTGTACAATCGAACATATTCGTTAGATTAAATGAAAAGCGAATAAATATAATTATGTAATAGAAAGATTATAATATTACGTCATGTATTGTAAACAATCCCAATAAAAGATTGTGTGTGTGTGTGCAGAAACTGAGTGAAATTAGTAAATTACTAGTGGATTATTATTATAATATGAATAGAGCAAAATAACTGAGATATTATAGTTACATTAAATGAAATGAAATGATATTCGAATCAGTAATGAAAAAAGCCATGGAGGAAATCAAAAATATTTCAAGAGAGGAGAATATTTTCAAATGTGAAGTGACTGGAGTGATAAAGACGACAAGAAGACGTACTTCTTTTGAACAGCTAGTTAAGGTCTCATTTTATGGAAACAAAAGCCTTCAAAGAGTTGGATACGATGAATTCTTGACACTTACTTACTTACTTACGCCTGTTACCCCAATGGAGCATAGGCCGCCCACCTGTTTTCTCCTACCAACTCTGTCCTGGGCTTCCCTCTCCATCTTTGTCCAATGTTTGTTCACTCCTCTCATATCTTTCTCTATTTCTCGGCGTAATGTATTCTTTGGCATTCCTCTTTTCCTTTTGCCTCGAGGGTTCCATGTGAGGGCTTGTCTCGTGACGCATTTAGATGATTTTCGTAGTGTGTGTCCTACCCACTTCTACCGCTTATTCCTCATTTCCTCCTCCACTTGAATCTGGTTTGTTCTCTCCCACAGTACGTTATTGCTAATAGTGTTTGACCAACGAATCCGAAGTATTTTGCGTAGACAACTGTTCATAAATACTTCTATCTTCTGGATGATGGCTTTGGTAGTTCTCCATGTTTCCTCTCCATACAGTAGAACCGTCTTGACATTTGTATTGAAAATCCTGATTTTGGTTTTGGTTGAAAGTTGTTTGAAGTTCCAGATATTTTTCAACTGTAGAAATGCAGCCCTTGCTTTGCCAATCCGCGCCCTCACATCTGCATCGGATCCACCTTGATTGTCGATGATGCTGCCAAGATTCTTGATACAGAGGGATGAATTCTTCAGAAAACCTTGAAAACGACCTACAGGTCAATGGTGTGAACAAAATCAATTAAATGTTCCGAGATAGAGATCGTAACTGCTTTTATCTCACTTTTATGAAACCACAGTGGAAAATGTTATTTCATCCAAGTTTAGAGCTTATTCATGACTAAGTATTTTTGGATTGTGTATTGGTTTCTCTGGTGTATAAATTCAACTAAATCATTCTGCACAACTCTTTATTACTATTTTTATGACATATCATGATAAAGTATATGTAGTAAATCTGAAGTTTTCATTTTACATTCAAAGACGCTGACATCTGTTTTCAGCCATAGATCTTTGTTTAAACATAGGACAATTATTCCAGTTTATAAAACAAGTTAATTTTTGTAGCTAGGCATTTCAAGTTATCATGTTTTTATTAACAATCTGATGAAAACGAAAATTTAGAATCTTATCAATCAATCTTAAAAGATAACTGACAAGTTCATCTTAAAATGATAAAAAGTACTCTGAATGTGTACATTACTTCACAGGTATGCTTTCAGGATTTTTGCCTTGCAATGTTTGTGCACGTAAGTCAAACGAAAAACTCATGACATAATGGATAATTTTTGCAGATTGGTTGGAGAACCGTTTCATCATTACTGTTAATTTATCAAATATCACTTCTCCTTGATAAAAAGTAAACAGCGAGAATACATTCAATTTCCAGTTAATTTTGTTGAAATTATAGAAATACACTAATTGTGTCTAAAAAGCAGGATAAAATTAAAGAAAGTCTTATGTAATTCGTTATGAAATCCATTGCGTGAAAGTTAGTAAAATATTTACAGACGGTAGCGAAAATGATTGTGTTAACACACTGAATAACCGATCTGATATGTGTAAATAGTTCTTCTGGAGTTTTTTTCATCCAATTTTTCCGCTTCTTGTCTGCTTCAAGAATGTCAACTTTACTAACAAGATACTGTGGAAACAACATTTACAGCACATTGAATATGAATAACATTAGACATGAATGCCTAATTGGAAATAACTGACTTTAGCCAATCAGTGGTTTAAGATTATAGACTATTGAACAGATTTGTCCTTTTTGCATGGAAATTCTCAAATATCAAGTCATACGGTACAAAGATCATTGATGTGTGCTAAGCTTTGTCAACTAACAGATGTTGTAACTGTAAACTACTAAATACCAAATAGTTGATCATAGGGTGAGGTTCTCCATGCTAATCTAAAAGTTCCCGCATATGTTGCCTGTAAAAGGAGTCCATGTGCACTATAAAAGAATTTATGCACAGAATGATAAAGATGTTTACTGTGTTGCCTACTTCTTACTAGTTGTCTAAATGAAGTCAGCATATAATTATAAAAACAATATAAGTAAGCTATTCACATCATCTGTTTACCAAAATTACATACTATTCATTTAATCCCTCTCCATTATTTCCACTTTTAATCTTTTCAATATTAAATCTATATATTTTACAAATTTGTTTAATACAAATACCTTTTTTTCTGTTTTCAAGGTTAAGCCAATTATTGTCATTCTCATCATCTTCAATATTATTATTATTATTATCATCATCATCATCATGATCATCAATATCAGCATTTTATCCATGCCAAGATGAAAGTTTCCAATGAATAATTTTTAAAACAAAATCATGGTCTAGTTATTTCTTCTCCTTTTTTTTGTTTTTCTATCTCTATAAATTATGATTATTAATATTATTATTATTATTATCATTATTTTTGTTTTTATTCTAAAATTGAATTTACAGAGTAAACAAATCAATGAATAAATAGTAAAAATAAACACTATTACATGATATACTGTCTTTTTTTTCTGCAAAAAAATAACTGAAACACGATAAGCTTAAGAATCGGATTTATTTACCAAATATCAACAGTTTCAATTGTACTACTACTTTTCACATCACAAAATAATATCTAATAATTGTAATTGAAATATGAAAATTCATTTGGATTTATTCAGTTATAATTTTCATTGGGTTTGAGTGGGGGGGGGTACTGATCAATATTACTTTAAAGTAAGTGGAGTGACTTTCTCTTATCTACATACACTTACATACATCACTTTATTATTCAACTTTATGACGCATATTCTCTCCGAATTGTTCATACATACACGTACACACACATATATATTCGACAAAAAATTAAATTTATTTTTTTCATTTATTAATCAAATTAATCAATAATGGTTCGGAATATTCTTCCGCTAGCTACTCATCCTTCCAAAGTGATTTGATTCAATGTTCAATATTGAACATCGTTTATTTCAATTTTTGTTTCTGAAACTCTTCAATGAACCTACTTGATTTGTTTGTGTTTTATTATTTTTTTGTGTACCTGTTTTCAAAACATCGAGTTAACTGATAAATATGAATTTTACAAAAGTGATTAAACTTGTGCAAAACAAAAACAAACGAGAATTTCAATGTAATATTAAAATAAATAAAATCATTTTTAACTGTGTGTTTATAAAATAATGTTTATTTCATGGCGGGCTTAGTTAGACAACTAGTTTTTTGTTTTTTTTCTGAAATTTAAATAAGGATTTCAAATAAGTGTAACGAATGAGCTGAAAGTTTAGATTTAATGAAAGAAACCACTGAAAATCTAATTTTTGTATGTAAGTATGTATATAGGCGTATAGTTTGTGAAAACATTGGAAATTTGAGATTTTCAACTTTTTATCGGACAATGCGAAAAATTAATTCTAAGCGTCAGTGCCGTAATCAAACTTTGTTGATTTTCATCAACTATGGATGAAAATATTTAAAAATTAGAAACTCTTGAAGCCACTCTAATGAAAAAATCATTGAATAAATATAAACTATGTACTAGGAATGTAGGTCACATTAATTTCATTGGAAAAATCCGTATAGCTGATAAGGATGTCAGAAGGTTATATTATTTTGATGGTAGTATTTATATAGAGTTGATTATCCACGTTTTTTTTAAAATTTATTAACAGTAATCAACAGAAAATAAGCTGTGAAACAATATCAAGTCAAAAAACATGTTGAGCTATGAAATCAAATCTACATTGAGACATATAGTGAAATGTTATCACAAAGAAATAGGCAAACTAACGGTCCTCTAGTTATATGCCCAATGAAAAGTTGATACCGTTTCTGTTTTCAGTTTATCATTTTATGTTATAAATTGAATAGTTAAGCTACAGAAATTAACATTCTATAAGTAAGATGTTTATTTTGTTATAATAACCACACTGTGACATTCATTGATTTCCAAAATCTTTAGTAGCTAGTTAGTTGATTCACTAGAATTTTCACCATAGGGTTGTGGAGATTGTCGGACCGCATTGAAATCATGAACCGACCAATGTTAGACCACCACTAGAAACCTTGTAGCACTGAACGGCTGCTTCATCCTAGTTTGGGACTCATAAACAGTTTGCAGTCACAACCCATGTTTGCCGGAATCAAACCTGAGTAAACGCCTAATCTCAAGATGAATGAACCAGCATCCAACAGTGCTAATATCTAAGTCTGATAAATCCAAGGTCTTGCGCAACTTCATCCATTGTCCTTGGTAGTGGTCAGTGATGCTTTATGTAATAAAATTTAATGACTTCAGAACTTTATAGCACTTTTAAATTATTAACTTGTGTACACGAGCTGCTTTACAAATTGATTGTTCATTCAAGGAATAATATTCTTTGTATTATTATTATAATTATTAAACTATATTCACTATGACATGAAGCATAATGTATGGCTATGATTTCATTTAAGTAACGTTATATTAATTAATAATTAATGGTTGTACAAATCAACATGACAAATGACAGTATTTTTGATTAGAGTAATCGTGTTTCGCAGTGAATAACTCTTCATTTGTACCAGTCATTTCTGTTTTCACTTCCTGTCATGGGAATTTCAAGCGTTCTTCATAGTCAAGTGAAAGCAACAAGCGACGCGGATACAACATTGGCATTTACACAGGCATCAAGTATGAATGTTATCACGTCATAAGTATTTGAATCTAGATTATGAGTAAAAAGTGTTCACGTAACAACAGACTGAAGTTTTATAAATGTAGCTGATTTTAAAAATCGAACAGTTTGTTTAGAAAATTAATCAAGTCAGATAAGTGAAGTGAAAATAAAATCTCCTAAATAAATTAACATTCTGATGTACCTAGGCGATCGAATACTCCATACTAAATTTCTCGAATCCATTAACTCTAATTCATCATTACACATGAGGTTTAACATGGTTTGTTATGAAACTGATTAGTTGCATTAACTTTGATAGCATGTAACTTTAAATATATTCGGATGTATCACTGTGAAATTAACAATCTCATCGGGTACTATCTATTTGTATTCAGTAACAACTTCAGAAAAGTAAGATTTTCTTATTATAAAAAAGCAAACCTGCTAGTGTAAAATGTAAAAATACAAAATTTCGAATTACTATTCATACAACATTGAATAAAGAAATAAATAGAGCGGTCAAAACAAACAAATTATAGAGAGAAAAAAAGCTTATTTATCATCAAATAGTTAATGAGAGAACTAAAATTTTGTTTTGAAGGAAACAAAAAACATACTACTCAAGTGTGCTTTATGTATTTGATGAAACATTCAATAATTTCAAGGAGACCATTTTTAAAATGATAAAATGATGAACTGAATACAAGCTGAAGAAACAGAAATTTGTATAAACGACAGATCAGAAGTAAACTACACACAATTTTATACTCATTTAAATATATACATTGCTCTTAAAATATATTAAATATTCAACTAGGAAAGTTTAATAATTCCTAGCAAAACCTAATCAGTTTACAATAACAATCTTAAATTAAAATAATTTCAAAACATAGTTGAGTGAATGAAGTATGTTTTATTTGAATCAATTTCTGAATCAGATTTTTTAAATACTAAGTTTCACGTCATAAAATTTATTTCATTTACAACAAATACTTATCTTCAAGTACCAAATGAATTTTGAAAACTGTCCGAGTTTTTAAAGTTTGAAATGTGTTGACAATTTTAATCAAACAGTAGATTAAGGTGAACTTAAGGTCTAAAAAACGTAATAAATACAAAACAGATTTGATCAATTTTCAATGCTACTAACATATTTAAACCTATGATATTCAGTAACAGATGTTTCAAACCCACAGTGAAAACCAATCTGCTTAGGATAATAGACATGTCTTCCAAATGAATGCTATTTAACATGTGTATATGCTATAAAGTTTTTAGGTATGTTAGATCCTCAGAACTCACTTGATAAATATCTTCATTTTGGATTTATTTCAAGGGCCGGTTAGTTGACCTTGAGATCACATTTCCCACCAGGAAAATCCTTCTCTGTGATTGGTTACTGCGTCATTTTAGCGTGCTATTTTTGTAACTGTCCCAAAGACGTCTCTATAGAGTATGAATAAGCTCAATTTGAGTGCTTGGATGCATTGTGTGCTGACTGCGTGTTTGTAGAATACACTTTCTACGCTATATCAAGACTTCTTGCTGGTAAAATTGGGTCAAGGGATCACAGCAGCCTACCTGGACGCTGGTTCATTGTTTTGTTCTCGTTATTCAACTAAAATGAACCCGTAATAGTTTAAAGCGTACTTCGAAATGAGTATAACAATTTTTCAAAGTAATATGCTATGTAGATTCTAAGCCAAATCAATCGAATGGACTCTAAAGACATTATATGGGCTAAGATATACCTGAAAGACTTCTACTCTAACAAATTGTCAGCAATTCGGATATCATATTTTAGTTATTATTTTCGAATGTTGCTTTGAGTACATTCAATCTGACTAGTTTATATCTAGTATTTTATGCATAATAATGTTAAGTTTGATTAACTCCACTATAAACGTCGAATATGTGTTTATTTAAGGAACTTATATCAATAGGTTTATCTTGTGAACATTCAACATCCTATCAAATCGGTGCATTGTAAAATATCAATCTGTGTTTCAAATCAAAAAGATTATTAATTGCAATCGAACTGTTGCAATAAAATTACGAAAAATCAATCTATAACAAATATGGGACAGTATAAAATGAACTAAAATAATGATGCATTTTGAATTAATAGTTGGCTCTCTTATTTTTAATCTTGTTTTGTGTCAATTAACTGCATTTCTAAAGTTAAAACAATTATTGAATAAATTAAGTCTCAATAAATAGTATTTACTGTATTTTTAAATGAAAACTTAACACAAACTCATCTATTTGAATAGCATAATTACTTTGATAAACATTAGATGCACAGATAGAGAAGTGAATGGTTGACAAAAATATGATAACATTTTAGTGAATTTGCCTTAGTCAGAACAACAGTGATATAGGAATATTGGTAATCAATAGGTCTGATATCGCAAGGTTCTGTCATTCTATACTAAACACTACTTTGGACAAGTTATAGTAGACTTAATGTATTTCGTTAAAAATAGTCAGTAAAATTACGACATGCATTTTCAAAGAGGAGTATATTCTTTGTGCTTGTTTCACTTGTCATCTGATATGGAGTTTAATTAAATTATACTGTGTCCGGTTTTCAATATGTTAACAAATATGTCGTCAAACTAAACTGGTTTCCAGAAGCCACCTAGAAATGTAACTTCGGTACACATATTATAAGCACCCAACGGCTTCGACTGAGTAATATTTCAGTTTGGCGGCTACTTTTCCAGTGTGGAAATCATTAAAAATTTCATTCAATACTTCTAACCTTATTTAGATTTTTGACATGAAATTAGATGGAGAGTCATTATAGCTCAAGAAAAATATATAAATATATTGGAGACGTTACATTTTCTAAGGTGAGTAGTTTCAACGAACTCAACTTAGAAAGACATTAATTTGTGGTGAGTCTTCAATACAATCTCGAGTCATCTTAGAAACGATCCTGGTTCATCAAATAATTAGCAATAAAAGACATTAATTACTTTTTGTACCCTTGTTTTTAGTTACATTCTACAGAGCATCATCATATGGTATGAAAGCGTAAACTTTATATTAAAACTACTAAAACAAAATGAAAAAAATTGTGAATCTTTAAAAGTCAATAAATTAGAAAGACCAACAATTTAAAACCCTAATTCATTTCTCCTGAAACCTAGGCGTTTTATCATCTTCGAAAAGATCTGTAGGCTTTGAATGTTTATGATTTACAACTTCTTGATAAGTTCTATCTTTGATAAGTTTATTTCAACGATTTTTTAACAAACATTAGGGCATAGCGTCAGGCAGACGAAATCGGTGTACCAAGTATATATATATATATATATATATATATATATATATTGTTGGTAATAGAAAAAGTTGACGTTAACTTAAAAATAATTTTCAACTTCTCAATATTATACCAGTAATGATAGATTGTTTTAATGATGAATAATTTAAACGAATTGATTTTTTTCTTTAAAAAAGAAACTGTTGCGTATAAACATTTTATTATCAACATATTATTTATTCATCTCAGATGATTTGAGTTTATTTATTCTTTAAATGAACGTAGTTACTTATAGCGCAACTGTTTAAATGATTAAATTAACTGTTAATGGACAGAAAAATATAAGTATACTTTTTTTGAAAAAATTTCAAACCATTCTAAGTTGAACAAAATGATTTAATTTCAAGTATTAGATACAATTTATCATGAACAAAATTCTTCAAACTTTTTTAAAAAATTATTCGAATTCCACTTTCGTTATTTAGTGTTAATCAATATGATACAGAAACTAGTACTACGTAGTCAATGCTGACAAGAATAAATGCAACTTCATCCTTATGAAGATTTATTTCATTCTACGCCTTGCTTATTAAAATGTCATTATATAGAAATATATAATTCTAGCGTGTATTCGCAGGAACACGTCATACATTATCGCCAGCTTAGCCGACACAGTTATTTTGCAAATAAAACAAATTTATTTTGTGTTTATCCAAAAAAAAAATTTCTATCAACATTTCATATTCAATGACACTAACTAACAAATAAATAAAGTATTATTAGAAAACTAACATGTTCGCAGTTATTTAAATTTCAATAATTCAATTAATAAATAGTATCGATTTTTATTTTGCGTCTATTAGTAATTGGCTTAAAAAGGCTTTTGAAATTGAAATAAGCAAAATAAACGCATTAGTTTTAGATCATTTGAAATTGGCGTTAATACCGGGTATGTTGTTTAAAGTTACCGAGTTTTTTTTAATTTTTCTAGAAAACTCTATTCAAACCAAGGTATTAAAACGTGATATTATGTAGAAGAACCATACAAGTATATGGAGTAGAATTTCGGAGAATTTTAACAAACATCATACAACTGACACATGTGTTTGTTAACAGTTTTCCACACAAGATACTCCAGATCCGTTTAAGCAAATCACCGAACTGCGTCATGATGCAAGTCCTAACTTGTAATCCTAAAGGAGAAGGAAAAAGCCTAAGCCGGAAAAACTACCGTACACCTTGGATTGAAGGCAGACATCAAAAGACTAAGTAGCAATCTGGGACTACTGAAGAGTATACTGGATGACAATGTTGGTTGGAAAATTCCACTTGGCGGCCAATACTCCAGTGAGGTTAACTGGCATAATTAAGTAAGTAATTTACACTCTAACTTAAGATAGATTAAAAGTTGAAGAAATCACAGGAAACGTATAAAATGTAATTTAATACTGTTGATACTTTAATAGATGCATTTACTACGAATATCCAATTCATTAAGACGAGAATGATTGTCATTGAATTTAACATCTGAAAAAGTTTCATCTTTTTAAATTTTATTGACGTATCTCTGTTCAATGTATTGTTTTAATTAGTAAATATTTGTTAAAAGCATGTAATGGGCTCTGCATTATCAGTTCTGAGATTTGTTGTTATTGATTCAATGAGTAATTTAGATCACCTATAGTTATTTTTGTTGGGGACATTAGATCTCAAGAAGTCACTTGATAAAGGTCCTAATTTTGGATTTTATGCTTTCGCACATGGGCTGATCAGTTAACCTTGGGATTACATTTCCCATCCGGAGAATCCTTGACTGTCATTGGTTGATGTGCTATTTCAGTACGCTATTTTTGTGGCTCTCCCAAGAACGTTTCTATCATGTATAAATAAACTCGATTCGTATGCTTGTCAACCTCGACTTTCTGCGTGCTTGTGAAATACGCCTTCTATGCCATATTAAAACTTCTTCCTATACTTAATGGGGCTTGGGACGCCCGGATTAGAGTAGCATATCATGTCACTGGATCATTTGTCTTCGCTCCTGTTTACCGTCTAAGGAAAACTCGTAATAGTTTCATGCATATCAGTTGACGAGCATAACGATTTGTACAACTTAAAAGCTTCTAAGCAATATCTATCAGAAATATAGAAATATTTTATAAACTTCTGAAAATCCATTATGGAACAAGTCTTAATGAAAAACACAATTATCCAATTGAGTATTTATGTGAAACGTTTCTATTGTTTATCATTAAAATGTGACATCCTGAATTAATTGTGATTCATTGACTTCTTCTACAGAACAAAGATTCATTTGATAAAAGGTATGTGAGAATTTTAAAAGCATCATAAATATTTAGTGTTATAAATGATCTTTATCATAAACATTGTACGTTCTTTTTATTTATCTTTCATTCGTCTCAAACTTCATTCTAAGTTTCATGATTTAACAGAGAATTCAGTACACGAATAATTCTTCATATAATTCGATAAATCTTATTACAACTATCTTTGCAAAAGCACTTTTGTTATCTGATCTACTGTATACTTATGGTTATATCATTTTTATAAATAAAGATATCAAACACGTTTTATCTCTACTCATGTTGTTCGTTAGAAACTTTATGAAAGGCCATACTTTCCCAATACACACAAATGATATAAGATTCTTCTATATGTCAGATCATTTTGTTTAGTGTTTTTATCTTTTTAAATTTGTCCACAAACTTAAAAATTAAAATTGAAAACCCAGCAGAATAGTGATTTGCAGTACAGATTCATTTGGATGGATCGATAATTCAACTTAAAGGTTATTTAATGTCACCTTAAGGTAAATTCAAACATTATGTCCATATTATCCGTTTAAAATCTACCTATAATTAATAGATCATCAGGGTCTTCAGGTGATCATCAGCAATAGATTTGAACTAAAAGTTTCTATCTTATGATTTGTTTTAATGGCTTATAGGTTATGCTATCAATTTGAATTATTATACACACAAAAACTGATGGACATATATTAGTCAAATACAAACCAGATGAATAACGACCACAACGAAGAGGAATTACTGCAAAGTACAGTTGATAATGTGAAAGAGGAAACACAAGAAGCAGATACAATAAATGAATTGTTTAGTGGTTAGTTGAATTATTTATATTTCGGGAACAATAACCCATCTGATGTAGATAATTTCATATCAAATCAAAACAACAGTTTAAATGGAAGTGAGCCACGTACAACTAGTAGTAATACAATTACTATCAGTTTCACTGAAAGTGAAAGTACAAGTTCATCAAGCAGTCACGATGACTCTGATGACAGTGCTGAGAGTGAAGAAACAGACTCAACTAGTTCCGACGATGATGATGATGATGACAACCAGTCCACTAAATCGAATCAAATTGCCGATTTCTCTGGCCAAGGCTTTACTGTAGTACCATCAATAATATTTCATAGTAAGTTATTTGTTAATCAATCACTTACTGACTGGCATTTTATTACCTTGGGCATAAAGTGTTTTTAAAATGTAAAAAAATCGAGTTCCTGTCTTCTATAAATAACTTAATCTAATTTTGACACTTATTTAAGCAAAACCTGTACATTAATTATCACTTTTATTTCACTCTTAACGCATTTACATAAAACGTTAAGGATATAATTTATAAAGTAGTCTGAAAAACTACCTCATACATTTTCGATAAAAAAGAAACTGTTAAAAAATTCATTGTGATAATAAGTTACATTAGACATTTTTAGGTTTGTTAATTTTTTTTTAGACTGAATCATTTAGATCCCCAGAACTCCCTTGTAAAAAAGGTCCTAATTTAATTATTTGTCTCTGAAATTTTAGATTTTAATGTTTTCGCGTCAAGAGACGCTTAGTTGACCTACAACTTATATTTCGCACTCAGAAATCCTTGACTGTCATTGGTTGACGGATTTTTTTTAGTACTCTATTTTGTGACTTTCCTAAGGGCGTCTCTATCATTGTATAAATAAGCTTGATTTGAGGGCTTAGCAACCTCTTATTTTTGGGGCGCTTGTAGAATACATTCTCTACTCCTTATCAAGACTTCTTGCTTTTGTTATCGGGGCCTGGGACAATCGGATTAGAATAGCCTATCGTGTCACTAAGTCATTGGTCATGGCTCCGTTTACCCAGTAAGGTGAACTCTAAATAGTTTCGAGCATACACAATTTGGAGAGTATATCAAATAAATAATCCAAATTGTTAGACTGATCGAAAAGACCTATATTTATTTGATTAAGGGTTACGACTGTGATGCTGACTGTTTAAAGTCCATACGGTTATTTCTGCAAATAAACTGAAGCGATACACATTCTTGATAGTTGGGAAACTGTATCTTAACACGTACATGACAGATTTTGAAGCATTACCAATGGAATAGGTCATGATTGCACAGTATAGTCAAATTTATTGAAATTAAGAAAATGGGAGCTGCTGAATGCTAATCACTTAGCTGAAAGTTAACCACTCATCATGAAGTCTTACTGCCTTGAATTTTATCCGAACACCTAAGGAGTAGCATACTAGAAAAAATAGTTTTTCAATGGTTTTCGTTTCCAAAAGTTAGTTAGCTAAGATCATTCAGCAGTATACAACTATGAAGTGAAACGCTGATTCAATTTAATTTCTGTTTCCTAAGCATTTACAAATATAACTTGATATTTGATATCTTGAAAAAGCTGTTATTTAAAAAGAATGATCATTTTAGAGTTTCACATATAATCAGTAATCTGTTTGATATTAGAAGTCAACTACAACAGTCAACTTTAATCTTAGTCATTAATAATTTTTCAGAGATTTAAATCGTTATTTAACCAAAACTGTACATCATATAAACTTTCTTTTTAAACAACCAATACTTTCAGTTAAGAAAGATGTTAGTTTTCCAGTCACCTTTTTTCCAATTAATCTGTTTTTAATCAATTAACTTGCTATATAAAATTATCGTTTTAATTAAATAATTCAATTCGTACAGCAAATGAAATAAATCAATGAGAATAGATTATAACTACATTTTCAACTCAGTAAACCACTTAGCTAATTGTCACTGTAATAAAATGATAAATGACTCAATCGAAATGCTTAACAGAAATAATGTCACTGAAATAATAACGATAATTTCATTAAATAATCTTGTCAGTTAGTTAGTTTGGTTGCTTTCCCCTTCCATTCAGATTAGTTTATGCATGAGTTGTAAAACAACTAGTGATTTAAATAATTAAACTAAATAAATAAGTTATTATGTTGTAATTGTTAAATGATTGATTGGTGATTTGGTTTTCTGGGTTGTTCCGCTTTCTATTTTATATTTTACATTTTTGTTGATCAATGGTTTCATTCTAATTTATTATAAACTGAATGAAACATAGTCAATCAAGTAAAAAAAATGATCAAATCATTTCACAGAAAATGAAAGTAAATTAATCACTGAATCATTAAGATCCTTATCATTTGAATACATTCAGTGGATGAAAATGTTCTGTTGTATTTTTCGAAAGCCTCATCTGTTAGAATATCAAGTTTTCATATCGATGAATGTACACGTTTGACTGACTTCAATTTCGGTGATCGATCTGGATGAAAATACGCGGCAGAAAAACTACCGGGTTTACGGATGTTCGTACCTTAGCACTCATTAAGTTATACTTTCAGAAAATAACAGATATTTAATGTAAGCACAAATGTATATGATTAAAATCTAATTCACTTAACAATCAATGGGATAACATATAAATGAATTAGATGACAGTTACATAGTGTATTTATAGACTGTAAGTCAATTTTTTATTAGCTACACTAGGGATTGTAGTGCCTCCACATATATTCCGGTTCGCTTACATCTAACTTGGTTAAGCCCTTTCGATTAATTTATTTAACCAAGCCATTTGTTTGGCAACAATTTATATGTACCATTCGATCTTATTATTGTCTGGTTTGCATGAGCTCACATGACATGTTCCACTTGTCATTTGACCTTGTCAATCATTCGTCGCTTTTATTCATGTGTGTGCACGCCTATTTCGCTTGTCATATGTCTGTCTTATTTTTGTCTGACTATATATTCTTAGTCATACTCTTTCTTTGAGTTGGCTCACTAGCCTTCTCCACATCGCATCCTTCGCCCATTCGCTCGCATTGTAATCCAAAGAGTTGGCTCTTTGCCTTCCCCAACGCGCCTCGCCTATCCATTCGCTTCCTTCGTTTTATTCACTGCTTCTCTGCTTCGCTTTGTGGTGTATTCTGAATAAACGTATTCATCACTACGAATTCATCTTCTGTTTTATCAATCGTCAGATACTATTTGGCAACGATTGTCTGGACGAGTTAATTACCGAGCTAAAGAACACGCAGTAAATCGACATACTGCAGGATTACAATCAAATTCAGATTACAGCGTTGCATTACATGTATTCGTATTACTACGATTCAAGAGTTTATATTCTATTCATAAAAAGCCTGCAGCAAATTTAAATCTTCCAAAATTTATGGAAAATTAAGAATCAGCTAATACTGTAGTAGTAATTTTCTGCGCCAATACCCTAAACTTTCAATGGGTCACTCATAAAAAGTAAAATATTCAGAATACCTCCATAGTCTCTGTTGTTCTCAGTTGAAATTTATGAAATTCCTATCACAAGATATCCAAACAGAAGACAATCACACATTGAAATAAGTTTGTAAAAGTTAGTTTTCTCACCAGTTATTCGTTTGATTGCTGATATTCATGGCTTTTCCTTATTTGCTGAAATTCATGAATCATAAGTATAAAAAGCAATGTAATTGTTTTGTTTTTCACCAATCACTAGAATCTCAACAGCAAATAAAAACTATACTTTTGAATTCGGCGTAACTTTCATAATTAAAAATTCAACTTCCTACCTGCCAGAACACCTCTTTGTCAACACTTTAAAATATACTGAACATAACATGAGAATTTTGGCGTTTAATTCAATTTCCTTCCGTCAATATTTTTCTTTTTAAACCATATTTTTCTAACTGTCAACTCATAGGAACTGATCACCATCATGGCGATATAACTAGAACATAAAAACAGGAAATAAAACACATTTGCTGCAGATAGATTTGCATAGTGGAGAAATAACAAATTTCAGTCGAAGATTGTATTTTAGTACGAGAACTCAAGTTTCCCATTTTTAATCGATCATATAATTTTACCTTCATGCAGCCATCTACAGACTTTAAGCCATTTTTTTATGAACCTTCAAAACTTGCTTCCTTGTCTTAACGATTACTTACAAATACCCTGTTTTATATTACAATCGAAGGGTTGAGAAAAGCATTCCGTTTTACCGAGTATCAACGACAACTATATAGTTTAGAAATTATTGATCTAGCTTACAGCATAGATCAGCCAATACAAACGAATTAATAATCCAATAAACTTGTTCATTAAAAAAAAAATTAGCAATAAAATTATCTTTCTATTTCACTGATCAACTTCTATGCATTCACTTACCATCCGAACTAAATCTAAGATGAAAAAGTTAATATTTATGCAAGCTGACAAATTAATTATATTCTTTTTACTCATCTCACATTGAAACAATGAAGTTTAAGAGAATAGTTAAAAATAAATAGATAATTCATTCTTTCAAATTGTTACATAAAATAATTTATCTACTAAACAACTAATAGTCTACTTATCTTTAACCGAAATAAGCATAAATTTTTTATGCTTGACTAAACTCATCAAGATGAGATATATTTGTTTGATTAGATAAATTTACTACAATTTAGCTTTAAGACAATCTTATACCTGCATAAATTCAAAACACACATATTATTATAAAGTTGTATCAATATTAATTTGTTCTCTTTAACAAAATGGTAAAATCTTCAGTTAGTAAAGTATTCACAAGTATACCTGTTGCTATGCAACCAGAATGATAGTTTATATATTGCACTTAAATTTTATCCAAAATCAATAACGAAACGGCATAATCACTCGTTTATATTGATTTGGTGGTAGCTTTCGTTACGGATCAATATTTCTTGAGCGGCCATGAAACACCAAGAAAATGCTCAGTAATACTTATTCACTACCCACACATATAGGACCAAACCTTATACATTCAAGTTTAGTTATGTGTGAAACTCTTCTAATAAAACTGACAAAAGAATACAGTTTGACTTGCTTATTCAAATATTTTAAAGAATTTTATGGTAAATTGTTAAACCTAATTTTAATGTGTTTACACTTCGATAACCTTTGTCATCTGTTGATAATGATTAGTTGAGTAATATTTCAAGTTCTGTTCAAATTTCTGTCTATTATGTCATACTGTTAAAAATAAAAGATCATTTTCTTTATTGAGTTATTTTTGTGTTGGTCCAAACTGTCCAGAAATATTATGTTTATTTTAAGAGCAAAAAATTATCAAGCTAGGGGCTACACTGAAAGTTGTAACATAGTTATTCGAAATAAGACATATTTTGCCAATGATATTGAATGATGTCCACGTAATATCACGAATTCATTAAAATTATAAATGTGGATTGATCAGGTTAAACTTCCACTAGAGGCAATCGATGCTGAATGATGAATAGTTCTGCATTTAAGTGAAATTTCAGTCGGGTGGTCTCATGTTTGCAATAGTTGTCTTCTGGCTATCAAACGTGACGGAATTATTACGAGGTTGTGATTGTTGCTAAGTTACTTATTGAAATCATGAATCAATCAATGTTAGACCACTATTAGAAACCTGGAAGCACTGGAAGTCCGTTTCGTCCTGGTATGAGACTCATCAGCAGTGCCCATCCACGACTCCTGCACCTCTCGTGATTCGAACCCAGGACCTTCAGTCTTGAGCACGAACTCCTAACCTCTGGATCACTGAGCCGGCATCTAACGGTGTTACTGTCTAAATTCAATCAGTTTACAGTCTTGCGCAATCTCATACACTGTCTTCGGTAGTTACTGTCAACACCCGAACAGGGTGAACTTCACTGGTCACGACTTCTCACTAGCACTGCTGATTAGTCCCATACCAGGATGAAACGGCTAATCAGTGCTTTCAGGCTTTTAATGGTGGTCTAACATTGATAGATTCACGATTTCAATGAAGAATTATTTATATCAATTAGACCATTAGTTTAAATGACTCGAAATTGATGTGCAATTTGCTTTATCAGAATTGGTTTGAAAGAGTCAGTGAAAAACTTTTAAATTAAGTTTCTCCTGCTCCATCTATAACCTTCAGGGAGTTATTACTGCTGGCTGGAGTTTCGCTCAAATCGTTCAATCATTTCAAAGAATCGAATATGTACACATTAACTGATTGCCTAACATTGAATGAAACATATTTCTTCTATCTAGGATACATATATGGATTCTTTTGAGTCTCTCCTTTTTCCTAACGTAATAATTATTTTTACTCTTTATTTCCACTATTCTAGGGCTAACAATCACCAGATTAAATTTGTCAAATAATAATCTTAGTTTTTTACCACCAGAAATATGTTCAATGATCAATTTACAATATTTGGATATCAGTCATAATAATCTACGTGGTTATTCTGAAGTGCCTGAAATGAAATCTACTAGTCTTTCTCCAATGAAAAGCACCAATGATACAGTTCATCGTAATAGTATATACATTGGTAGAAAGAAATCAACTGAGTTTTTAAATAATAAGGATAACAACAATGATAAATCAGATAATGCACAATTACCAAAGGATATGAACCGTTTGATCAATTTGAAAACACTGAAAATGTCTTCGTGTGATTTGAAATTTATTCCAAAAGTTACTTTTCAAATAACTAGTTTAACCAAACTAGATATAAGTGAAAATTGGACAACTGAACTTCCTACAGCGGTAAGTAGACAGTTATTATTATTATTATTATTATTATTATTGGCTTTTTCATAAAGCTGTTTTAATTTCCATAGACGTGACTCCAGTTTGGACAGACCGTTGAATATTTTATGAAATAAATTTTTCATTAGTTTCCATATATCACTCATAGGCTAACTCTGTTTGTTAGACGACAGTAATAAGAAGTCAAATACGGGTTCAGTTGAATGTGTTTATTTCATGCAACCGTTTATGCGGACAGGCATGAGGATAAAAAGTGGAAAAGGAGAGTAAAGCAAAGTGAAGTGGAGAAAGCGAACAGGCATGACTAAGTATTTACAATCGGACAAAAATTAGCTGAATATAGGATAAGCGAAGGAACGAATACACACACACATTCAAGTAAAAGCATCCAGAGGCCTAGGTGAATGATTAGCAAGGTCTTAAGATGTGTGGATAATAACCGGAGAAGAATGGCTGAATAAGTTTGTCCAAAGGCTGAGGCAAGCCTATGTAGGCTCAACATATTCGTACACACTACCATTGTCTTCCAAACTCCCTGGTAGTTCAAAAAATTAGTTACATAATGATTGTCAGATACATAATACACATAATCGTAAAATTATTGTAATGTTGTATTCATTACCATTTAACCAAATCAACTCTATTTTAATAAATACATTATAGACATCATAACATAGACACCAATACTAGAAGCAAAAATTATTTCATCAACTCCTTTAAAATGCTTGAAACTGAATTCTCTAAGTAATCTTATTCTGTCTTTAGAATAATGAGTTTAACTGTAGGTTATTCTTAAACTCAAGTTTTGTCAGAACAGAACTATCAACAATTATACCATACTCTATACTTTGTATAAAATAAATTCCAAAACTCGTCGTACACCATTTTTTTATCATCCAATTTGTCTTGATAAGTAAAAATATAAACTTATTTCTTTCAGTACGTTTGATTAAAACTAATTTCACTGACCATTTATAATTACAAAAAATTACTTTTTCCTATTGTTTGATGTTAAAAAAATATCGCATAAATTGTCTAGACAATTTCATAATCTTTAATAATGACAATCAACATCTACACTCTCACCTGATTTTTTTTCCCTACTGATCAATCAATAATTTACAAAAGAAAAAAAAATCCAGTTTATTCCCATTGATAATAAATATGAAAATATTAACAAGTCTGTAATTATTTCTATCATTTCCGTTCATTAGATATATGAGATAGATTTTGTCTGTACATTAGATAAAATGATATTATTCATTGGATTCGCTATTGATCTATGGAGGAATGTATTCACTAAACTTATTATAACTAACTTTCTTTGTCGTCTTTTGATAATTTTTTTTTAAATTTCCTCAACTGAAACTCATCAAACACTAACAATGTACCGTTGAAAAAATTGGAGGGTTAGGAAAATTATTCTTGTTTCGAGTTAGTTTTTTTACTCACTAACACAAGATACGAAATAATCAAATTGAGCCAAGATCCAGAAGTGTTGGGGATTTTAGATCCCTCAGAACTCACTTGATAAATGCCTTATTTTGGATTTCACGTTTGCGAACATGGGCTGATCAGTTGACCTTGAGATTCCATTTCCCATCAGGAAAACCCTTGGCTGTGATTGGCTGCTATGTATTTTAGTATGCTATTTTTGTGACTGTCTCAAGGACGTTACTATGATGAATAAATAAACGAGAGTTGTGTGCTTGATTGTATTGTGATTGCTGGGTGATTGTAGAATAAACTTTCTACGCTTATCAAGACTTCTGTTTTGCAGTTGAGATTCAAGGTAGCCTACCTGGACGCTGATAATTGTCTCGTTCGTGTTTTATCGACTAAGGTGAACTCATAATAGCTTCAAGCGTACCTAGTGACGAACGTAACAAGAAGTTTCTCAGTCGAACAATGACTGTTGCTTTCTGGTAACTAATTGTAAACAGAATATCTGAAATTCTTTCATGAGACTGTAACTAGTATAGTTTAAATATGCTCAGAGTAAGACAAGTACGACCGTAAACATTGGATAACCATTGCATCAACATCCCAAATTGACAAAGGTTAAGAATTCGGATCATGCTTTAAAGAATATGCAAGTAACATAAGTCTTAAGGTTCACCAGTTCGATCATCTGTCAGGTTGAAGTTGTAAAATGTTAAGGAACTCAAAAGCAGATAGAAACACTGGCTTAGTATGCTGCCTGTTCTTTAACGAATGCAATTTTCAAATGAAATTAACCACTTGAACAATACTTCTTAAATCTTAGTTTTATATAAAAAAGTTTTATCATTCATTTAATGAAGCTTTCTCTTATCTCACAGAAATACTTAGATAAAGGTGAAATGGGAAAGTTGAAAAAATTTTCAAAGTATGTACTTAACTATATTTTGAAATGTTTTTCAATAATTTTCCTTATAATCTTTCCACTTGTATGATAATTAAATTTTCTCGGTAATGTATGGCTATAAAAGACGCCTCTCCTTATTAATATTGTGGATAGCAATATCAAGCCTGATGACGATTTAATTGAAAACAATATTGTTCGCTTAAATGTGCTGTTCAAAATTTCAATAAGTCTTATCTACTCTTGTTACATTACTGTGTTATTACATACTAATGTTTTAAATTTCTATTTGGTTAGTGGATCATAACTATTACATCAAAAGTATTGTACATCTATAAGTGAAATTCACAATCAGCATTTTATCGATTTTGTTTTAGACTTGTTTTCACTGATACTTTAGCATTCATTCAAAAGCTGAATTATAATCTCTTTTTCATACACAGATAGGTAATTTAGTGGAGTTACGCTGTTTATTGGCTAAACGAATGGGACTAAATACACTTCCAATACAAATAATTAATTGTTCGAAACTACGTACAATAAATTTATATGGAAATGAAATAACTGCACTTCCAGATGAATTTTCCAAACTTGACAAATTAAGAACTTTGCATTTAGACTATCGACATTTTATCAAGGCATTGATTAAACCGAAAAAAGCTTCCAAAGTAAAAATAGTCAATTTTATTGATTCATCCGATGAAATTAACTCAAATAATACTACTACAACAGAAGTAAACAAACCAAGAAAATCTATTGTAGCAGAAGAGACTGCAGCTTCAATTGCTGAACGAATTGATACATTACTTCGTTCAGGTCAAATGAAATCATATCATATACCAGCAGCTATATTTAAACTACGAAGACTTACTGTTAGTTTCAATATCGCGTACTTTTCAAGTAACTCTGTTGTTTATTATGAATAGCGATTGACTTTAGGATTTTTAATAAGTATTTCTTATTATTTCACATTTTTTAATTGTATATGGTTTCATCCTTCTTTTCAATCCCAATATTTATCTAGCAGGCTATGACGTCCCACTACTAACAACTGTCTGTTTTACAATCAACCTAGAAATATAAACACTACATCAACCCATTCAGGAAGCTCATAATTCAATAGCTATCTATCATTTCAGTATTAAGTATGATCAGCGTAAAAGAAAGGACACACCATCAATAATATGTCAGTTATTCATAATTTCTATATCGTTTAAGTAATTGATTGAGACAGATTTCTATGCCGCATATCTTTCATATCAAATAAACTTGATTTATTTACAATAAAGACAGAAGAACAAAAGATAGTGCTTATCAGACTTTAGTAGACAGATTAATTAGTTGTTTTTATATTCAACAAATAGCACCAACCAAATTATACTCGATGAAGAAGCATTGAAAGATGTGGAAACATTCACATATTTGGGCAGCATCATTGAAAAACAAGGTGTATCTGATGCAGATGTAAAGACATGGATTAGTAAGGTAACTGTCAAACAACAACGAAAGTCACAATTTTAGGTACAAATGTTAAAACAGTTTTATTGTATGGAGCGAAAATTTGGAGAACTTCGAAAAACATCATACAAGTGATATAGGTGTTTGTTTAAAGTATTCCACGCAAGATACTCCAAATCCATTGGCCATACACCATCTGCAACAATCTGCTGTGGGTGAGAACAAAGCAGACTCCTGTTGAGGAAGAAATTTGGAGAAAGCGCTGGAGGTGAATTGGACAAACATTGTGTAAATCATCACGAAACAAGCCCCAAAGTGTAATCCTTAAGGCGAAGGGAAAAGAGGAAGACCGAAGGATACAGTACACCGTGGATTTGAGGCAGACATGTAAAGAATGATCATTACGGAATCCAACCTGTTGATCTCGTAGTTGGGCGTCTACAGAATCTTTCATTCTAATTTACCATCACTGTGGAATATTTTTGCTGGTATTGCGAGTGAAGTGATGCCTCTGTAATTCTCACACCTGCTGAGATCTCTTATCCTTGGTATCTTAATGAGGTGTCCCTTTTTCTAGTCTGTTAGTACTTGTTCTTCCTCCCGAATCTTGCTGAAAATATTGTAGGACTTCTTTGCATTAACCGTTATATCTATTTTCGGTGCTTCAGCTGGTATGTTATCAGGTCCGTCTTCTTTGCAACTCCTTATTTGTCTAATGACCAGGCTGATCTCTTCAGTAATTGGTGGTTCAGCATCAGTTGGGAGGTCTGTAGGTGCTGCCACGACGTCGGGTGGGTTCAGTGTTACTGATCAACTCAAGAGTTCTTTAAAGTACTCTAACCACTTGTTTCCCTGTTTTTCAATGTCGGACATTATCAACAGTGATTCATTCCTTGTGAAGGTGCTTCTTGTGATTCAGAACTGTCAGTAACCCTAATAAGACTGCATGAGGAGTTTTTATGTGGTTGTTAATAATTTAAATACTACTGCAATAATCATCTTTCATTCACTTTTGTTCACTGATAAAACGTATACTTAAATAACTAATTAAGGATACAGCTGATGTTGGTTGATGATTAAAATAATTTGTATTGCAATCGAAAAACTAATTTTCATTTTTGTCTTCTGCTAACCTTGCGGATATATTATTTTTCTTTAATTCAAACCAATAGGCATTGTATCTTGATCGTTGTCAGTTAAACTTCATTCCAGAAAATTTAACATTGCTAAAAAGACTTCGTGAACTTGATTTATCAAAGAATTACTTCAAAGATATTCCACAAGGATTATTCACGCTGTATAATACATTGGAATACTTAGATTTTTCAGATAACACATTAAACAGTGAAGCAGATCAAATAATTTCACTACCAAAAGATTTTGGCGCTAAGTTTCAAATGCTTAGAGTACTGAAACTGTCTTCAACAAATTTAACTTGTTTGCAAAATGGAGTACTCTGTGGAATGAATAGATTACAGCTGTTAGATTTAAGCCGAAATAAAGTGAGTTGGACATGTTTTTGAATATTTATTAAAGTTCTAAAACATTAACAAAAATACCATTACGTCAATAATTTTTTATATAATTAAAAGACATTTATGAAACTGGACAACTGTCTTTTCCGAATATGAGGCATATAAGCTGTGTATCACAACTATTCAAATAAAACTCGGAAAAAAACCGTCAAATGTTGAGACTAACTTTAATTCATGTAATTTGATCTTCGGAATTAACTTTAGCAAGACAGTATGCCTGTAATCCAATATTACTCGGATGGTTACTACCTTCTTCCTAATTGATTAGTTTCTAAAATCAGTGTTTTCATTAGAACTTCAGACAGTCAGATGCAACGTAGAACTTCGTACGTAAGTACATCAGTTCATGTTGCCATACCACATCAGCATGCAGAGGCAACTGTCAATTAAAATTCCATAGTGGTAGAGATAGTAGGAGTACTACTGGTAATAGAAAAGATTAAGGTTCCAAAATAATATTGAAGAAGTATCCCCGACCGTAGCTGCTACCTTGAAGTGGTGGTCGGGCATGCCTGTCGTCATGACCCAACCGAGCTATATTGGATGGAACATATGTTCTTGCAAGTTCTACCATGCCAGACAGGTCCATCGGAGAACGATGAGACTAAAAGCACCTACCCAAGGTCTGAGGGCGAAGTCTTACTGCTGACTGCAGTGGGGTGTGACAGAAATAAGGTGTTTCCCTCGGACAGCCGGCATCTGCAGCGATGCTGCCTTCTCACAAGGAAGGAAGGGTTAGAAAGGGTCGACCCTAAAAATGTCACACCTCAACCTACCTCACGGTTTTCCGTCTCCGGCGGAGAGGGTGCCCACAAAGGGCTTTTAAGAGCGGAGCTAATACTCGAAAAACCTTTCATAAAAAGGCTGTGAGTGACCGGCCTCAAGCAGTTGTCCCCTGGCCTCTGCAGTCACGCTCCCAGGTCGTTAAGACCAACGCTAATCTACCTTCCTTTTCAGGTCTCTCAAGAAACAACCTTCCACGGTGTGGGCAGCCGGGAAGGGACAACCGCCCTCGTACCCGTACCAGCACCCGAGACCAAATCGGTCATAATCATTAGAACTTCAACAATCCCATTTCAAAGTCACCCATATGTTATTTATTCAAAATGTGGAGAAACTAAGATTTTAACTTCGTTTTTGTCTGATGATTAACTTTGCTTGATACCACTTACATTACAATGAAAATAGCAGATCCATAGTTTCCGCTGGATCAAGTATATTTATTAGTACAAATTCTTAGATGACTCATTTGTTTTCATTTTTGCTGAAACCAACGGTAAATATAACAAACACTGGTCATCATTCTATCGCTACACTGTCGATTCCAATTCAGCGAATCCAACGTATTTTCTATTTATAAAGTATAATCATTTTTTTAAACTACTATGTTTGGTATATTTTCAAGTGCTAAAGTTTAATTATATGTAGCAAGAATCCTCTAATTCAATTCTGTGATATTGTATGCTGTTAGATACTGCAAAATTGTCCAGCATAATGAGTAGATGTAGAAATAAAAATTATTAATTTTGATCAATTTGGAGTTCTGTGTTAACTTTACTTGTCCTTTAACGATTATTTGTCTCCGTATTTCAGATGATACTTGTTTTATTGCTAGTGAATTATAAGTCGCACTTAAAGGCTAAACAATATATAAATGAATATAACCTTCTAATCTACTTACTTACTTACTTATGCCTGTTACCCCCAATGGAGCATAGACCGCCCACCAGTTTTCTTCAACTAACTCTGTCCTAAGCTTCGCTTTCCAGGTCTGTCCAATTTTTGTTCATTCCTCTCATATCTTTCTCTATTTCTTGGCGTAATGTGTTCCTTGGCCTTCCTCTTTTCCTTCTGCCTTGAGGGTTCCATGTGAGGGCTTGTCTCGTGACGCAGTTAGGTGCTTTTCGTAGTGTGTGTCCTATCCACTTCCACCGCTTCTTCCTGATTTCCTCCTCCACTTGAATCTGGTTTTTTCTCTCCCACAGTACTTTGGTGCTGATCGTGTCTGGCCAACGAATTCGAAGTATTTTGAGTAGACAACTATTAATAAACACTTGTATCTTCTGGATGATGGCTTTGGTAGTTCTCCATGTTTCCGCTCCATACAGTAGAACTGTCTTCACATTTGTATTAAAAATCCTGATTTTGGTCCTGGTTGAAAGTTGTTTGGAGTTCCAGATATTTTTCAACGGTAGAAATCCGGACTTGCTTTGCCGATCCGCGCCCTCACATCTGCATCGGATCCACCTTGGTTGTCAATGATGCTGCCAAATTATGTAAAGGTGTAAACGTCCTCCAAGGCATCTCCATCAAGAGTGATTTGGTTGGTGCATGTTTTGTTGCATCGAAGAATTTTGCTTTTTCCTTTATGTATGTTGAGACCTCCTAACCTAACTTATCTAATTTCAAACAATATAGTTCAATATTGAATTTATACAAATTTATTTTTACTATGTAATTTGCTATGATTTACAAAACTGTATTCTGATTTGTATTGTTTGCCCATAGATAAGTCAATTACCGGACGATATTAATAGCTTGATTAGTCTTGAAGAATTACTTCTTTCTGAAAATAAGCTCACATCCTTGCCAAATACAATTTGTCACCTTAAAGAACTTAGAACTCTTGATGTAAGCTATAATCGATTGATAAATTTACCTGGAGATTTATATTTACTCAGAAATATTCAAATATCTCACTTCCATAAAGGATTACATAAATCTGGTCTTTGGCTTCAAGGTAATCCATTAACCGGTATACCGCAAAATGTTTGGAAAACAGTAGAAATTAAACATTTATGGAAATATTTAGAGGTAAGCGAACAAAAGACTTATTTTCAAAGTGTTTTTTATGGTTTCGTTATATTAGAAATAGGGCTCATCACATTAGTGACCAGCGACTTGACTGCAATCTGTGCAAATGACTGGATATGCAATCAAATAAATCTTCCGTTCAATTTCTGTATATTATTCTTAAGCAAACCTCGTTTGTTAGATGACGATAATAAGAAACCAAATATGAACTCAGTTGGAAGAGTTTATTTCAGGCAATCGTTCATGTAGACAGATATGAGAATAAAAAGCGTGAAACCAAAGCGAATCGAAAAGGAGAAGGTGAGTGAGCCAACTCACTGCGATGAAGCATGACTAAATACAGTCCGATAAAAATAAGTTAGACATTTAGTAAGCGAAGGAATCATGCACAAGCGCACACTCAAAAACAACCAACGTTAGGAGCAAATAATAGACAAGGTCAAAATACGTGTGAACAACTCCAGAACGAATGGATAAATTAATTAGTCCAAAGTCTGTGACTAGGCCCTATGGGCGTAATATGTTGGTATACATTACAGTACACATTAAAAGTACACTGTGAGTTAGAATTGCTCACAAATGTATGAGAATCAGCCAAGAAAGTCTGAAATGCAACATATATATATATATATATATATATATATATATATATATATATATATATATATAGATATGAACAATAAAAGCTAGAAGATGAACTGAATAACCCGAAATTGATGTTAGGAGCAGATAATAAACTGAGTTAAAGAATATAAATGTTCAAATTATGCCTTCGATATGCAGTAAAATATCATCACTTTAAAGCTATTTAAAACCAGATTTTGAAAAGACACTAAGCAAAAGTAAATAAGTTTTGAACAATTTTAACATCAAGAGCACGACTATGAAACGCTTCACTAAAAGAATGATTGTGTAAATGAACTTATTTGGAACTATTACCGACTAGATTGTTATCTATGATCTGTGTTAGTAGTCTTGTTTTTCGTCTATGAACAATTATGTCATTTATAATATTCATAATTGATCATGAATTACATTTGCCTATCGGAAACCTTAACAAAAACATACTCTCCTCCTTTTATACATTTTAGAAAAGGTGAATGAATACATTGATATGCAAGGATCTCTTATGTAATACAATAAATATACTAACTAAGAGTGGAACATAGAAAATATCTTAACAGTTTATTGGGAAGACAGAGTTGATCTGAAAACTATGGTACATTTGTCCTATGAATTTTGAACAATCCAGTCATAGAAATTAAATATTAGAACAACACATATAAGCGAACAATATTGTTTTCGATTAAATCATCATCATACTATACTCTAATATACATGACTATTTACATGAAAATATTAAACCGATCAAGGCGACTTGAGTCAATTATCACGACGAAATGAAATAGATTACGTCACTACACAAAAATGGTAAAAGTTGATAGTAGGAATACATGTTTACTGATAGTAATAAGAAAAATAATATACGATAACAAAAGTTTTAGTAGTTTTAGGTCAAATGTGGATAAATAGACTTATAATAATCATTACAAAACATTAAAACCATTACTTGATAAGAAGTGTGTACATAATTTGATGGTGAAGAATATAAACGGAAAAAGGCAGAAAATTACCAACAAATACAGGATGTGAAAATAATTCTAATAATAAAAAATTAAAAATATAAAAATTATTTAAAACGTTGGTTAAGTTATATCCTGCCATGGAAGGAATAGGGGTGTCACCAATTTCTTCTGAACACGTAAGTTGGGGTTGAATGTACAAAGTCTTATGGCTTCTGCTATATGTAGCAGTCGGGATCGAACTCCGTTGGGAAATGATGGAGGTATTAGATAGATCACTCGAAACAATCTAGATTTATCTACAATATCAACACTATCAACCAGATGTGCCAAGACAGAACTGCGTATTGTTTTTATCTGGCCGTTCATAAACGATGCTGGGAGATGTTCACTCATTCGTTGGTTAAGTTGCCTGGTAGTACGCCCGATTATAGATATCTCCACAGGAGCAGCTGAATTTGTAGAGGAGGCCAACTCAGGTAACTTATCCTTCGTTTGGGTAGACGTCGCTGGTCTACTTGAGAAGGTCTACGTGAATTCGACTGTGTAGAATTTTCTATTGATTGCTCTCGTTTATCTATCCTGCAGAGTATCGCTAGCCACATCTCCTTTGAATTGTAGTCTATTCAATAAAGGCTTCTTTTGAACGGTCGAAGTCTCCCAACTTCTTTTTTACATTATACATACACTTCTTCATGAACGCACTAAGGTAGCCGATCTCGGTCAGTGAGTTGTTGATAAATTCGAGCTCCACTGAATAGATCGTTTTTGCCTCATTAGCGAGACATCGAACCAAATTTCTCGTGTAGTGGCAAGCAGAAGGTCTTTTTCTGTACACGCTTCAACTTAACGAACAATCACTTCGCCTGGTTAGTGTGACGTCACGTAAATTCAGCTTGTAATCATACTCCTCTTTACCAGTGAAAATGATTGCTTACTATTAGTACACCTGTCTTCCTACTATCAACTTGTACTTTTACAAATTTTGTGTAGTGACGTAACCTATTTCATTTTGTCGTGATTATTGACTCAAATCGCCTTAATTGGTCTAACATTTTCATGTAAATATTCATGTATATTACAGTATAGCATGATGAAGATCCAATCGAAAACAATATTGTTCGCTTTTATGTGTTGTTCTAATTTTCACAATGGGAATCTTGGATATACTGTTTTAATGTATACAGTTTTCAGACCAAACTCCGTTTACTCATCACACTGCTGAAATTTGTAAAAGAGGGTAATTTATAACATATTGTCGACCGAAAAACATGCAACATTTTTAAAAAAATATTTTATACGTATAACTAACAAAATAAGTTACATTTGACTGATTAACTATTCATGGATTTAATTGATAATGTTATTCATGATTATTGAATTACTTTTACTAGGATAAACGACTAAAAGAATTATCACATGTCAAACCAACAAAAATTTTCGTAATCGGTGATAAATTATCCGGGAAATCAACATTAATCAAACGTTTAATGAAGAATGGTTCAAGGAATTCAAGTACACAGATTAGTCTACCTTCACAACTTGAAACTTTTTCAACAGAATATAAATCATTGACTAAAAATATTCCAAATGATGTTGAATTACCATTAGAATGGTCACCAATATCAATAAATCATTGTTTTACACCAAATGGATTTAAAGTGGTATTTTATGAAATCACCTTACCTCAGTCATGTCATTTAGATCATAAACATTCTTCTGTTTGTAGTCAACATTCTGGATTAGAATTAATTTTGCCACATCTTTTAGACACTAACTGCTTTTATATTTTACTTTTCAATGCAAATTTATTAGTCAAAAATCTGCAAAACGCTGTTAATAATATATGTTTTTATTTACTTAGAATACAAATGTATGCACCAGGTTCGTTTATTAAATTGGTAGGAACACATTGTGATCAAATTGATCTGTATAAGTCTATCCCACAAGATTTAATGAATGTTGAAGAGATCACTGAGGAACAGAATCAAACATCGGAAGTAAACAAACTCGAAAACTCATGGATAACTATTCAAAACAATGAATTGGAAGAAAATATAAAAGATGCTAAGATCGATTTTGGTAAACTAATTCAAGCACACATAATCAATAAGATCAAACATTTGTCGAAATGCATTGAACCATTTAGTTTGCTCAATATCCACAAACATGAAGTAGATAACAACATAACCGTTTTACAGAATATCTCTTTTGTTAATCTATCTTCATCAGTACCTAAAATTCATTCTGGTTCTCCATTTAAAGATAAAGTACATGTTGCAAATCAGTTCCGCTTGATCAATACCATTAACATAGATGAATTGTGGAGTGAAATTGAACATCGAATAAATTTTACCAGTCAGATATTAAACAAAGATCATGTCACTCCTAAATCTTGGGATTCTTTAATTGTTTATATTCGAGACAAAATGAAATCAGTTTTTATGGTAAAACTTGACTTACAGTCACAGCTAAACAATGAAGATTGTTCACCATCTAAAACTGGAAATAACCAGTTAATTTTGGACAAGAAATTTTTTGATGAAATGAAAATCGATAACATTGAAGATTGTTTAAATTACTACCATTCAACCGGTCAGTTGCTATACTTTTCAAAACATAAGTATCTAAAAGACTATTTGATTTTACATCCAACAGTGTTCCTTTCTATCATTAATGGTATTATTAATCCACAAGTCATAACTTCCGCTTACCATGATACGGAAAACAGTAATACGAGTTTATACATTAGATGGTACTTAAGCGCAATATCTGGTTATTCAGTCGAATGTTTGAAAGAATACTTCAGCTCTTGGAATCATCATAAATCAATTCCATATCAAGTGATACGTTGTCTACTTCCTCCATTTGGATATCGTACGTGTAAATCACTTCTATCTAATAATACTCATCAACAAACCAGACAACAACAACGGCGTTTTCTTTCAAAAAAACGAAATCATCATTTAGATGTGCCTTTATATCATCAAGCAGGCAAACTGGCCATGAGATCTTCAGCTAGATCAAAATCTCCTGTATGCTTTACCAAACAAGCTGAAACTGAAAAAGATTATTTCAGTTTATCAGTTAACTCAATTAGTCCATCAAATGTATCAATTAATAGCGTTTTACTGCTAACCGATCTCTTGGAAGCTGGATTTAAAATTCACGATTTAATAATAGTTGATGATAATTCGAAAATTATGCAACAAAACAAACCTAAACCTTATATCGTATATCCGTGTCTATTTTCCGATAATAATAAAATGGAATTTTTGTACAGTAATACTTCAAGTTACAGAAATTCGACAATTCAATATGATATAGAAGAAAAAGAATGTGTACAAGAAATATGGTTTCCATTAGGTCGACCTATGGGTTATTTTAACCGACTTTCAGTTAGTTTATGCAACGTAATGTGTGATGAAACAAAATACAAAGAATTTTGTGATTCAGTTTCAGATTTAAATTATGTAGAAAAGTCTACATCAAATGATCTAATTGTAAAACATAACACATTTATCGTTACATATGGTTATACCAAAATTAAGTTGGAAGAAGTAACTGTTAATGGAAACTTATTTGGTTTATCAGAATGTTACACCGTATATGGAATTAGATGTATACAACAAACTAAAAAAGAATGTCTATCTATTGACAAAGTACAATCAAACGATATCACTTTTAATCCATATGTCTGGTTCATTAAAACGTGTAATCAGTTAAATAATGAAGCTCAAGGCATTGTTTGGTTTTGGTCTAAATAGCATACCTTTTCTGATTAGCTGATAACTAATCACAAAAATATTGAATTTTATAAAACTGGAAAGTTAATTAATTATAACAGTCAGATTCAATGGTGTTAGTTTATTCTTGTTCTGTAAATGGCTAGTTTCAAGGTGGATAACAAATTCAATCGCTACACTAAAGTTTTGGGTACTTCACGAAGAAATATGTTCGAATAATTCAGAACATAAGTATTCTGTTACTTGAAATAACTTAATGTTTGTACTAAATGTATTTTAGAAAAACTGTGTTTTCAATTTCAGTTCCGGTTACACTAATCAAAGTTTTTCATACTGAAAAAATTTTACTCATTTCATAGCTCATAAAAATTATGAAAATCTTGAAACTTTCGTCCCAAGAATTGTATTGAATAAGAACAGAGGGTTATCTGGCTTAATAAACTCCAATTATTTCTAAAGTTGTTTTAATCTTACCACTGTATACCATTTCGTCTGCTATATGTTAGGTATATAGGATGTTAAATTTTATACACATAAAATAACATGTGACTATTCAACTCAAATTTTTAATACCGAATGTGTCATTTTTCACGTTACTTGACGCCTGATAATCTGCTCAAATCTAATGGTTACTTGATTGCTAAATATGGATATATTGCACTAATTTCCTTATCTCGGATTAACTTTATTCATGTACTCTAGTGTACCTATGTGCTTACATGTTCTTATTATAAAAAACTAAGACCTATGAAAGATTTAAAAACTGTTCATTCTGAACATTGGTGCTTGGTTTGTGTTTCAAGGTTATAATAGTGAACGTGATTCATTAAATATACTGTGGATGAAAAAGGGTTTTATGAGAGTAGAAGTGATCAAAATAATTGAGGGTTGATAACAGTTTGGTTGAGGATTTACAATAAATATTAATACAAAAGGAGAGTTTGTCGAAGTATTGAACATTTTGCTGCAATACTTCTTTATAGTAATCAGACACCTAGTACTAAACTACAGTAAAACAGTAACACTGATTCCCATTTACGAACTGATCAACGTGTTCAGTTTGTATTCAGTAACCTATTATTTAGTTTCAATACATTCACAGGACCGGAATCAAGAAATCTTGCTATTTCCATATGATAAAATAAAACAAATATTCACAGTGGACACTACTGACAATCTAAGTATGTTAGTCAGTACTTAGTGGACCAAAAAATAATTGATTATTCTAGGAGTAAAAATGACAGTTAGTAATGCTTTATGCATGTACTGCTTTGGCTTCTAAGGCATTCATAAACCCGTTCTTACTGAAGGAAATACTAGCGAATGAATGCAGAAATATTATATCATGAGTTTTTAGTGATGACTGAGTCGAAGATTGACTATGATCACCACTAAATGTTCCATATTGTCCCGTCACGTAAATCAGAAATAAATCCATGTTCAAATAGTTACCGAAGAAGAAAGCAGGCATTACATAGAGAGCTGCACGTTATGAAAAATGGCAGGAACGCGAAAAGAACGTTGAGCGCAAGAAAAGTGTTTTTGGTACAGTTAAACAAAACGAGTACAATAATAAATGCTTATTTTTCACCAATCGCATTTTCTTCGTAGAAGTATTCCACTACAAGTTCTTTCTTCAAAAGACACAGAACTTAAAACATCGCAGACTGTTTATTTAAAAATTGAGGTCATAAAATTTTCAAAAGTTATGCTCAATGAAATAGCTAAGAAATTATTCAAAATTCTACAGTTAATCAGACGAGATGCCAATTTAGATGAGTATCTTCTTGCAGTAAAATTTTATTTTCTCTTTGTAACAGACACAACTGATATAAATAGAATCTGTCTATTCGTCCAATATTAAATATCTTCCCCACGAGCTAGTATAAACCAAATGTATATGTTTATCAAGTCTCTTCTTAACGCTTTCCGAAAGCGGGGCTGTGGTCACTCTAGCTGGGAGAGTACTTCAAGATTTTACAATCCTAAACAAGAAAACGCAGACAAGTACCTTCGTGTTTGCAAATTTTCGTTGGTTGCATCGACGGGCGTCGTTTTGTTTCCGTACGATCCTCTTTTTGCAGTGATTCGGTGCACTAAATGTGTTGTATGCCATTATCAGATTACCTCTGTTTCTCCCATAACTCTGCAAGAGTAGTCCAGAACGTTGGACTGTCTCTTAATTAGGCTCATTCCTTAACCCTGTCATCCATTTAGTTGTTTGTCTTAGCATTGTGCATATGTTTTAAAGAAAGTTGAAAATAATTGTGGCTCTGCTGCACCAAGTTGTCTTCTCCTATTTCTTTTCGTCAACTAGTCTTACTATGTGTGGGAATCTTGGGGGTTACCGCCTAGTTTCTTTGCCAACAGTAATCATAGCCACTCTCTAGATTTAAACATCAACAGCCACTCTTTCTCATTCCAAAGAATGTAACCCTTCATATCTGACCAACGATAATAAACAACTAATCACTTCCCCATCATTTTATTGAAATAATTCTCGCGTATGAGATACCGAAAATGTTACTGTGAAACTACTTTTAGGAACAGACGGCCTAAATTTGTACTCTGAAGAGCACACTTGATACTCAAGATACACTCCTCCAGCATTAGAATGAATGACCTAAGTTAAGAATGAACCATGAAAAAGACTTTGGCTTGAACTCGAAAATCACACCACTCCTATCTAACTCGAGTACTCCTGAAGACACCGAAAAATATAGCCCACGTTGGTGAACCACGTATCTCATGAAATAAACTTTACAGTTTTAAAATGGCAAAGTTTAAAAAGTACTAAGTTTCTTCAGATTTTGAACAAACTGCCTTGACAAGGGAGAATTATTTACTCAATCATGAGCCAATACAACTGAACTTGTGACTGACAAGTCGACCATCAACGAGAGAAAGATATAGTCTGTATGCTCAAAGAAATATATTACACGTTTATTGAAAACGTATACATAAATTAACCTCTAGAACAACCGTTTGTTTTCGTTTACGACAATAATGTTGTCCTCGTGAGCTTTTCTGAACACATTCTATCTGAAAGCGCTTGGTTACGCATTCATAAGAGCTCTTCGTTCAATAAGCCGTACTGAGTATCTGAAGACCAGCCTAAAATGATGTGCTGAAAAGAACCAGGGAATTAGAGCCATTAGTACGTGTAGGATATGAGTGTATTTTTAAATGCACATACGTTTTCATTTCTTATTATTCCAGGACGAACGGGGAGGATAAATAATATGAGACGACCAATAAAAACCGATTTTTTCATTGTACATTATTCGTCTACCACATAGCTCATTAGATTGGGGAAAGACAAGCAGGATTTACAGGAAGAAGCAAGCAATCAAACCAGAATTTACTTATGATAATGCATGTTGGGTGAAAACTGCTGACTGGTTACGCTTAAGGATCATCAGTACATCACTAAGGGTGATTGAGGTGTAGCTGTAAATACGCCCCAAAAATAAATAGTTTTGTAAGTTTTCGATAATGATGCTGACCTTTTGAGATTCACTGGACACACTCTAGCTGAAGGCGCTCGATCATACATCCTCACCAGACCAACAGTGTCTACCGCACTATGCATTCGTCGTATCAACTAGCCAAATAAACGACTTACTCCTTGACATCCCAACTAATACGAAGCTGGCATCAGCTTCGAAGACTTGCAGAACTATTAATTTCGGGGATTTATAAACCACAACATAAGTATTCTCGAGCCCTGAATATCAGTGACATCGTCAAAAGTGACTAAATCGGAATATATGTCATATAACTACAAAACTAGTTAATTTCTGGACCCATTAGCCATCAGAATAATTCCCCCGAATGCCTTCAGCAATTCATTTCAATGTCATAGTTGTATTGAAAGCCCTCAAATCCTTACTCTTGAAGATAATGATTAACAAAATCAAAATATTTTGCTGACCCGAACCCTTATAACTGAACTTGATTATAATGAAAATCTAAATAGATCTCCTCTACCAAAAGTTTAATGTTTTTTAACCTCTGTACTTCCTAGCAAATTGTTTGATCACACCTTTTGAGAAGGACATAATCTTAAGTTACAAACGGCGGAGTTGTGACAATGAAGGTGTCGCAGGGCTATTTTGATGAAACAGTAAAGTCGAATATGGAATTGTTCGACTTGTCAGTAGACGATGCTATTTCAGAATCCGTTCAAACATTGACTTTAGAGGTCTGGAATGATGTTTCAGTAGTTTAATTAATCATAACTACAATTAGGGAGTTGATCTCTCCGATATTGTGAAAGATATGATCAAGTATGAAAACGGTCATCCATGTGCCATAGCTATCAAAAACCTTGAAGGATTTTTGGAGACGGACCGTGATAGTTCTAAAGTGTCGGAAGCTCTGCAGTCCCTACAGTTACCAAGAAACTCTGACAATGCTGTTCGTAAAATGTTAATCGATATGAATTCTGTAGATATCTTACTAAACCTTTTTGATCTGTATACTCCAGTTCAAGACTATGGTCTGTGTACGTCCTTGTTAAATGTGTTGTCCAGAATAATTAAAGGCCACTCTGATTCGATTAGGGAAAATCATATCCAAAGTAAGCAAATAACCGGGAACATTAAATGTCTGAAGTTCTTACCTTTCATTATAACCTTATAGCTTTTAGGAACTTTGTATTCCTACAATTCTTGTACAGGAAACTGTTAACTAGAATGTCGTAGGTCCCCAGATTATCCCTTGGTTACTTGGTGCATATATTCACCGATGCAACAAATAATTTAAAATGTCGCAATTAATTCAATCAGAATCATTCCGTGTTCGCCTCCCTTTGAATATATGCTATGCATTACCGAAGGATTCCATTGACCCAGCAACTTTTGTATCTATATAGCTGCCTTCTTTTAACTAGAAACTAAATACTGGTACAACTACATTAATTTCGCTTGACTCTTGCTAACGTGCATCCTCTATGGTACAAACGATGTATATATCTGCTTGTCAGTAGGTAAGTATGCTACACTACATTTATTATGTCCAATTAAAATAAGGGACACTCATACCTATCTCTAGAGCACTGAATCTAGTTACTAATGCTGTAGTTAGACGTAGTGTAATTGGTATAAGGAGGAGGAAAGAGACAAATCGAGATATTTTGTCAGTTTTTGGAGTCATTAGCTGTTATCTTGAGCCAAATCTATGTATCTCCGTGGTTCAAAACATCAGTTGACACCCCGAAATTGACCTCATTCTTAATCTTAAATGTTATCACATACTTTCCAGTTTTTTACTTACTGATTCCTTCTAAACTTTATTTCATACTTCTGATTTTCCACCTCAGGTAATATTATTCCACATCTTGACATCCTTTAATTCTCTCACTATGTTGATATTACGTGCAGCAACCGGGACCGCTGCACTTCTGTACAGTGCGTAACGTTACTGATGGCTAGGATATTACTTTAAGGTTGGTGTTCATAATAAGTATAGTAAAACCCTTCAATCCATAAAAACTTATGGTAAATGTCATAAAAATATCGATCCTTACAACGTATGGCAAATCATCAAACCAGTTAATTTGTGCTGTTTTAAAATGCATAGCTCCTCATACTTTGTATTTCTTTTCATATTACTTAGAGTCATTCAATTTCCCTTTTTACTCCTTTAGAGCTAGTAGATTTACTTTTGAAATTAATTGGTGAATTTAACGAAAATACATCTACAGATTCGGAATTCAATTTGATTGCCGCAATCTATTCAGTGTTACATCTCAGTTGTACAAAAAATGAGAAGAATAGAACTTATATTTCCCAAACTCAAACTGTTACTCAGACTATAAATTTCTTCATGAGAATTACAGAGCTGTTTGAGAATCTTCCTTTTAATGCTTTCTACCCTACAATAAAAGAGGGATGTGGATTCCTACGACCACTAACCATTGATGATGATTTGGATGCTGAATTCGGTCTAGGAAGTGAAAATGCTCGCACAATTGCCAAAACCGACTCGTGTTTGGAAGTATTTGTCAAGCTGATTTCAAGTAAGCTTATTCTGCAGCATTTTATAGCCTGTTTTACTGTGTACATTTCTGTTACGTTGATTAAAAGTAATAAATTTTGACGAGAGTTCTGACTAGGCGCTGGCAAGGGTACGACTATCTGTTAAGTTCGTTCACTGTAACATTCGATTGACTTTTGAAAAATTTGATGCTCAACCATTTCGGTACAATATTCCATTGTATTCCGACCGTTTCTATTATGCTATCAATCGGTCTTAATATTTGTTTAATATAAAGTTCATTATAATTGATAAGACGTGATAAATAATCCTAGAAAAGAAAATGTTTAATCCGCAGTATCCTTCCACAAAATAGGTTCTTCGTGATGGTGGAGAAGATTTGTAGCTTTGAGCTGCTCAGAAAACCAAACACCACCACCACAGGTTCTTCGTAGTTACAGGTTATGCTTTGCATTCTTAGTAACTGGGCACTGAGTTAAGAGTATTGAAGGCATGTTTTTGAACAGTGATTTTGTGATTGTTGATTCATTACATTCAATACTACACCATTAATTTCCAGTTTCGTAACCAGAACCAAGTTCAAACAAGTTTCTTTTTGTAAGGCACAACTGTTGGCTGCTAATCAGTCTTATCGATGGATTGATATGAACTAAATTTTCTGTCTGTATTTATTAACAGCATGTTGATAATTCCGGTGTTGATGACCAGAAAATACACTAGACAAACGACATGATAATATTACGGAAAAATACTGCGTAAAGCAAAAAGTTCCGAATCGGAACAACTGTCTTGTTGTACACCTAATGCTAGTCAGTAATAACAGCTTATTTTAATTCTATCATGTACTAACAAAAATCAAAATGAATAATTAAATATATCCGTATAATAATACCTAACTTCGAAATGAATTTTCTGAAGACACAGGTAAGGTTCTCTGAACACCTTTTCTCCTAACTACTTCAAGATGCTCGTTCAGTACTGACCTGTGTCGTCTAGAATAACGGTAGCATATCAATCATACAACTTTTCTCATCAATCCTAGTGAATTTGGCAGCCAAAAAATGTCGTTATGAGCACAAAACGTCTACCTGATCTATGCTTACCCGTATCACCTATGACTTAGGTAACTTCAAAAGTCCTTTATTTGGCTTCATGTGGTCGACCATAAGCTTTTTATACATTTAAACGAATCATACAGTAAAAGTTCTTGACTCAGTGATTTCACCACACTCAGCAGTACGACTTCGCCGTCAGACCTGGAGTTGCTGCTTTTAGTGTCAGTATTCTGCAGTCGACCTGCATGGCATGGTAGAACCTACAGGAACATATGTTCCAGCCAATATAGCTCGGTTAGGTCATCAGGGTAAGCAAACCCGACCACCACGTCAAGGTAGCCGCTGCGGTCGGGAGTGGTTTCACTAAATGTAGACAAATGCACGAAGACTCAGACTGTAGTATGCTTTTAGTTTTCTTTTGCTAACCGAGCAGTCATGACATCTTTTTTGTAAAATAAGTTACTATTCCCTTGTTTGGTATTCGGTCACTTCATCAATACTAAATTAGTAGCTTCTGGATTTGAGATTTTAGTGTTACTCGTTTTAGCACCCGTACCCTTAAATTGGCTCTAAGTCTTTATTGGTCCGTAACACAGTAGCTGACTTCTTTCTACCTTCACTCTTAGTCCAGGAATCTGTAGTCAGCATCCACAAAATTCGTAACAGCACGCGAGACCGAATTGGTCAAAATCAAATCCTTCCTTATATCCACGACTAACTCCACTCACATTCCTTTATCTCCCTGCACCTCCGCTGCAAACGATTTGAGTCCTCAAAATGTAATTTCTGGTCTCTTGAAGCCCCATTCTAAACGACATGTTGGAGCATTTAATGTACGGACATTGTGTCAAATAGGGCAACAGGGTTCATTAGCTAGAACTATAGAATCTCGCTCAATCGATGTGTGCTGCGTCTCGGAAACGCGCACACAGGATCCGATTATCATCATCCACTTGACCTCACCATGTCAAGATAAAGAAGCAACTCGATTTGTTCTTCATGTATCCGGTAGCCCTGATGCTGCTTCCCGGGGTCTATCGCTGGTGTAGGTATAGCATTGAGTCGTAGGGCAGAACAATCTCTCCTAGACTGGATCCCTGTAGATAGTCGCTTATGCGCCGTCCGACTCAACGGGACAGTAAGGAATCGAAAGGATAGGGACACTCGTCGTTGCCTCTTCGTCGTATCTGCCTATGCCCCACTGACTGCAATTCAGACGAGGCGAAGGACGAGTTCTACAGAAAGCTTTCGGACCTGCTCCAATAAGTTGGGCGCTCTGATGTAGTAATAATAGCTGTTGACTTTAATGCTCAGATAGGTAGACTAAGTGAAAATGAAAGACACCTGGGTGGATGTTATGGTGTCGCGGCTGAGAGAACAGACAATGGTGACCGTCTGTTGCAACTGCGCTCAGATAACCTCCTATTTCTAGCAAACACTAACTTAAGGCATAAGGAAAAACATCTGTTGACCTGGCGACCCCCAAAGTCGTCTCAACGTTGGACCTAACTAGATCACATTGCCATCAGCCACCGATGGAGGGGTTCGATAGAGGACTGTCGCTCGTTCTGGGGCACATGTTTAGATTCAGATCATGCTCTAGTGCGAGCACGTATTTGTTTGCGCCTTACTGGACGCCAGAAAAATATCGCAAGAAAACCTCATAGGGTTTTAATTAATGATAATCAAGCTAAGAAAATATTTCAGGAGGAACTAGAAAATGAGTTAGCCGACCATTTAATGATTCCCATCCGGAGGCAGGTTGGAATGATGTCAAAAAGGCTGTGGAAACAGCAGTGATATCTGCTAGCAAGGCAAACCATAAGGCCAGGATGAAGCCGTGGATTTCAGTCGCATCCACCGAACTGATGGATGCTCGAAAACGCATCCCACCTGACTCTGAACATGACGAAGAGCGAAGTCAGCTTGGGCACAGACTGATAAAAAGCCTACATAACGACCGCGAACAGTGGTGGGTGGCGAAAGCAAAAGCGATGGAAAAGGCAGATGCGATAGGCAACACTAGACAACCTTTCCGACTTATCAAAGAAACCGGTATTAGTAACTGGTCTTCAGTCACACTTCGGTTGCCCACGATCCCCAGTCATCTTGAATGGCAAATCGATTTAAGTCCTCCTAGTTTACATGAAGTTGAGAAAGCTATAGGAAATCTAAAGGAAGGTAGAGCAGCAGGTCCTGATAGGCTTACCTCTGAGATGTTTAAGGATGATGGTCCAGTTTTAACAGTTAGACTGACCGAGATCTTAGGTAGAATCTGGGGACCGGACGTAATCCCATCTGACTGGTCTCAGTCGCTAATTGTCCCAATCTACAAGAAAGGACAAAAGTCTTCTTGTGACAGTCACAGGGGAATAAGTCTAACTAATATAGTTTCTAAATTGTTAGCCTCCATTATACTTGGACGCCTAACTAGAGCTCGTGAAGAGCAGACTCGAGAAAACCAGGCTGGTTTTCGACCTGGACGTGGTTGTATAGACCACATCTTCACACTAAGACAGGTCCTGGAACATAGACACACATTTAGACGTCCGTCAATAGTTGTGTTCTTGGACGTAAAAGCGTCATTTAACTCTGTGGATCGTGAAGTTCTGTGGCAGTGTCTGTCATTGAAAGGTGTACCAAAGAAGTACATTAACCTTATACAAGCTCTCTACCCGAACACCACTGGTCGAGTGAGAGCCCATGGCGAACTGTCATCTGAATTCTCTACATCAAGTGGTGTCCGTCAGGGATGTCCACTCTCTCCATTGTTGTTCAACTTTGTCGTAGACATCCTCTTAAAGTTAACATTAAGCTCGTCAGATTTCTCAGGGGTTGACCTTCTACCAGGAAAATCGCTTACTGACCTAGAGTATGCCGATGACATTGTCCTATTTGGTGAAGATGCTGACAAAATGCAGTCTTCTGACTACCATAATCAACAATGCGAGCATGTTTGGCATGCGGTTTTGCCCCTCGAAATGCAAAAGTTGCTTCAAGACTGGGTTGCGTCGGCACCTGAACTAGTGATAGGGAGTGAAGTAGTCGAGCGTGTAGACCGCTTCACTTATCTGGGTAGTCTCATCAGTGCTGATGGCCTGGTGACTGACAAAATCTCAGCTCAGATACAGAAGTCTCGATTGGCTTTTGCCAACCTGCGTCACTTATGGCGTAGGCGAGATATCCGTTTGCTGACTAGAGGACGAGTGTACTGTGCAGTAGTTCGCTCCGTCTTACTTGGCCAGTGAGAGTGGAAGATGAACGTAGGTTACTTGTTTTCGATCATAGGTGTCTTCGAAGCATTGCTCGTATATCCTGGGACACCCGTCTGAGCAACGCTGTTATTAGGAAACGGGTGCTAGGTAAGGATGGCAGATCAATTGATGCACTATTGAATCTTCATCAGTTGAGGTGGTTGGCACATGTGTTACGTATGGCTAACCACCGACTGCCTCGACGAGCTATGTTTTGTGGTGTAGGAGTGGGTTGGAAGAAAGCTAGGGGCGGCCAAACCAAAACATGACAGAAATCCATGAAGTCATTGACGAGTGGACTGAGCCATGTCGGTAATTGTCGACTACCTGGTTGGGGTCCGCGAGATGATAATAATCGATGGTTTGAGACCTTGAACGACATGCCTCAAAATCGTTTGCAATGGCGCAGGTGCATCCATTCATTGTGCTCTCTCAAATTCTAATCTTCTGGAATCGTCAGCACCTCTATATTTGTCTTTCCAACCTTATCTCACTGAATTATACTTTTTGAATAATATCTTTAAACCCTAGTCTTCTTCATTACCATTAATATCTCTACTATCTTTATCACTATGGGATTTGATTTGACATTTGCGTCTCTGTGCTAATGTGGTAGGGCAACATGAACTTATGTACATACGTACGAAGTTCTACGTTGCAACTGACTGACTGTTGTATTTCAAGTAGATGTAGTTTTTATACAAAACGCCAATCTACATCACGCCACAGAATAAAGAATACATTTAATCATGGAAGATCCAAAAGTGGATATGAAAACGGGAGTCTGTGAATAGTAAACTGGCAAAGCGTTAGAAATAGCAAATCATACAAAATTAGTTAATGAGTTGATCCAGGGCTTATAACAAAACGAATATAGATATTTAATAGTCCAATTATTTAATTATCATACAATGAGAATATGTATATGATAGTAATTTATGTTAGTCATAGGAGTTATCATTTATCTAATCTTCCTCCATATACTCAGTCAGCTATTACGAGTATAAGGGTGGATGTCAATCCCCAGCTGCCCATACCACAGGAGTGTTTCTTGAATAATCTGAAAAAGAAGTTAGGTTAGCGTTAATCTTAGCGACGTGAGAGTGTGACCGTAGAGCCCAAGGGACAACTGCTTCAGGTCGGTCGCGTACGGCCTTTCTATGAGAAGCTTTCCAAGTGTTATCTCCGTTCTTCAAGTGGCCTCACCGACGGGGACGGGAGTCTGTGATGTAAGGTGAGGTGTGGCATTTTTATGGTCGACCTTTTCTAACAACTTACTTCCTTATGAGAAGGCAGCGTCGCTGCAGATGCTGATTGTCCTAGAGAAGCACATTGTTGCTGTCAGACCTCTTTACAGTCAGCAGTACGACCGCCCACAGACCTTGAGTAGCTGCTTTTAATCTCATCCTTCTCCAATCGACCTGCCTGGCATGGTGGAACCTTCAGGAACATTTGTTCCAGCCAATATAGCTTGGATGGATCATCACGATAGACAAGCCCGGCCATTATGTCAAGGTATATATATATATATATATATATATATATATATATTAATATATATACTCCACGTGTTAAATATTTCCTTTACCATTATTTTAATTTCCCAACTTTCTTTTTCTCGATTAACAATTTTTTGCAGAGATTTTAAACTCTACAAATGTCAATGGAATTTCTGACCTATTTCAGACATTATCAACTATAATTACTCGTGAGGAGTTGTGCATCAAATTCGCATCACTAAATGGCATTGATATACTAATGCAAACTATCTATTCTAATATAAAGTCAGCTGTGAGTAATCTATGCTAATACTTACATGGTCACTAATTTGAAATTTCTCTCAATTTGTAGTAATAATGTTAAATAATTTAGTTCTTTTGAAATTTTACTCATGCTTGATGTTCTAATCAACAAGTGTGTAATGACGAAACCCCAGATTTCATGACTACGAATCTTCTACACATAAAACTTTTTGTTTACCATATATAAATGACGTAGTCATCTTTAGAAATACTTTAGTGTATCATAAGATGTTTGTATTTTTATTTACGATTAAAGCTAGAGTCACATATATTTATCGGGTAATTTCTTATTAAAACTAAGGTCTACAGAATTACTATCACCTACTAAATATAAAAACCGTTGTCAGATAAATTGTTCTAGCTTCTTGAATTACTGAGCTCCATATTACTGAGGAATGGATACAGATTTTGCTTGTACTTCGGTTATTATGCACAATTAACCCGCCTTCCTGTACAAGTAAGTTCTTCATCTGTGTTTTGTGCCCGACTAGGCTGTAAAAATCGTTATTTTTAATGGTTGATTCTTAAGAATACTTCAATGTTTTTATAAATATGCACACTTATTCTGTCATCAATAATATTTAAAGCAACCATTAAATTTCCTGAATGTCATTTTTCTTGTCAGTTACTGTCTACTAATGGTAGATAAGAATTAAAGGTAATGTCAGTCAGTCAGCTACAACATGGAACTTGATGTGTGCATGCGTACATCAACTCAAGTTGCCAAACTACATTAGCCCAGAGAGATGGAATGTTCAATTCCGATCTCATAGAGGTTGATGTAGTAGCAGTATTAGCGATAATGGAGAAGATTAGGGTTCGAAAAAATTATTCAAGAAGTATAATTCACTTCTGCCCCCCCCCCTAGTTTTCTTCCAACCAACGCTTACACCACAAAACATAGCTCGTCAAGACAGCACACGAGACCAGATACATAGTTTTATGATTCTCTGATATGGTAAATGTAACAATTGCATAATTGCAATTATTTTTGATATGATATCATCATGAATTAACGATAGCAAATGATGATCATTCATGAAATATGGGTGATGAATGAGAAAATGATTCTTACATGAACATAGTATCAAATATCTTTAGTTGCTGCTTTTAGTCGTACCGTTCTTCAATCGAGCTGCCTGGCAAGGTAGGGGACCTAAAGGAACAGCTGTTTCGGCTAATATAATTTGGTTCGGTTATTACAGTAGGTAAGCCCGACCACCACGTCAAGGTAGCAGCTATAGTCGGGAATTAAACGTGACGCGATTTTTTGTTATCGGTTGTTGAGTCAGTGAGCTTACTCATATCGTGTTAATGTCGCACAATTTCCTACTCGATAATATTGTACGTGCGTGAAAGAATGAAGGCTTCAGTCATTAAAAACTTAATTGATGGTAGCAATATTAAGCGTAGAGGAAATGTAATACAATCATTCAAACTGAAAATTCAACATTCAAAGTTAGTTATGACTGAATATTTAATGGTATATGATGATGAAATAATAAAGAAGAAAGTTAAATGCAGTTCGTATGTATTCTAAACTTCATTGATATAAAGTAGTCGGTTTCTATGGATTAACCACAACAACTATTTCAGTAAACAGAATGTACTCATTGAGAAATAAAAATGAGAAAAAATAGTACAACGAAGAGTTCTGCTTTTACAGAATTCATTTTCACAGCTGTAAAATAAAAAATAATTACTTCACACAGTTTTGCTCTAACATATCTAATATATATATAATAACGATTATAATTTACAATTAGGGGAGATTGCTAAATGTTATTGAGTTCACGAACCTATCTAAATTACTCCGCTATTGAAAATCTAGAAGCACTGGACGGCCATTTCGTGTTAGTATGAGACGTCTTAGTAGTGTACATCCATACTGGGATGAAACCGGCGTCCAGTACTTCCAGATATTCAGTGGCGGTGTAATTTAGATAGGTTTATCACCTCAATGAGATCATAATTTGAGTAACACAGTAACAGAGAGCTAAAAATAAACCGGGACGATAACGTACTTTTCATTTAGGAATCTAGAGATTTGTTTGTTGAGAGCTTAACTTAACTTGCAAAGAAGAAGTTCGTAACGCGATAAGATAAAATATTGAATTTGAGATGAAATGTAGTTGGTTATTAGTTTTAAAACTAAACTTTATTTATAATAAATTTTGATTAAATTAGATTCATGTAGGATTGTTCATTTGCAATCCCACCACGAAATTAATACGCTTAAAATCATGATTTTAAACGAACAAATGTATGCTAATTGAACTTTTGTTAACTTAGATCTTATTTGACAGTAGTCGCGAAAAATGACAGTTGATAGAATATTAATATTTTGGTCAGACTCAATTCCATCTTACCATAAAACCTCATTCAAATAAAAGCAGACTCTACATATAATAATCGATTGTTCATTTCTAAACTCTTTAGCTTATATTAACTGTTACATTTTAAACAAGCCCATGTTACGCCACTTTTTTTTATTCATTCTGTCAATTTTTCTCAGGTTATTGTTTCGTCTGCACTGATGCTGTTACAAGCAGTATGTGGTTCAGATGCTTGTAAATTATCTGTTAGTAATTGGTCAATGCACAATATTTCTGGACCTCAGCTTATTGTAGATATGTTTGAGGAACATATAAAAAGTCCGGTTGTTACAAAATACATCTCAGGTGTAATTGCAATGCTTACTCTTCGACAGCCTGATATTGCAAAATCTCTTATTGAATCAGGTGCATCAGCATATCTTATCAAGTTAAGTTGAAAAATTTCAGTATATATTTAATTATTGTTATGAATTTTACATAAAAAAGCGAACAGATTGGGACGTATACATTTCTGTTTGAGTTATTGACATTTTAAGCTTGGTTGTGCATGTTTATTCACTTTCTTATGTATTCAGTGATCTTACTAGCATGGTTCTCCTGTAATTCCTCGAAAATTTAGCCTTAATGATTGTGTACATCGATGACGCTTTTTTTTAAAATTATATTGTGCTTCGGGATTATCTGATCAATTTAGCCTATCAATGAGACTAAAGATCTAAACTTTTAGACCCGTTTTTTTCTGATTAAGGTGAAGCAGGTCGAAAATATTATCTTTTGCTCCCCTATTCTTTATCATTCACTTTTCTCTTAATTTTCTAACTCATTCAATAGTTTGCTGTAGTGGTTGATGAGAATGTAAACCGATGCTCTGTTCTACCAACTTCTATGTTACTCTAGTCAGTCAGTTGTCAATGAGTTACAGTTAGATACTGTCTGATGTGGCAGGCGGCACTTACTGAATCGTTTCGTACTGCCGAGATTTGAAACTGAATAGAATACGGACAGCCACCACTATATTTTACTGTATAATTGATCTTGTAGTTCGATTACTTTTTAAAATGCATAACTAATAAAATATATATATATATATGCACCAACTTACTGACTATTCTGTTCAGTCGTTCGACGGTATCCTGGGTAGAAGCTCTTCAAAAAATGACTTGCATTATCACTCTGTATGCTAGCCTCCTCCTTTCTGAGTATTCACATACGTTCATTATCAAGATACTTCATCCATGATTTCACAAATATTGTTCAGCCATTGTCACACTAATCATACTTGCTGCGTTTTAGTCCCTCTTTTCAAACCTCTGTCTTACCGAATTTCGTTCGTTCTACTTTTATATTATGTGCATAAGTTTTAATTTAAATCATTGAATACACTAATCCTCTTTTTGATGTTGTACTAAAAAATCCAGAGCAAATGTAGTTCTGTGGGTGTGTACTGATTGTCACATTTGTTTTCATTTGACATCAGTAGTTTGCTGTCCGTAATTATTACGGTACTCCCGTACTTTTAATAAATTGTGGCATTTCATAATTTTGCACTCAAATTTTGTAAATCTAGCTGAATAGCTATGAACTTATTTTACCTTATGCTCAATATTTCACCTCAATGACTAAATTGTTCATTTATTTTTAAGTTTGTATCTTAAGTTATACACTTGTACTCAATTATTTTCTGTTGTAGACTCTCGAGTTTCATTTATCCAATGCCTCAACTGTACGAGCAACATGTAGAGCTATACGTAACTGTGTTTCACGATCTCCAGAATTACGGTCTTCTTTTTTGACATCAGAATGTGGTTCCGACAGTGGTTTAGAAAAACTGTTGAATTCTGCACTGAAAATCCCATCATGCTGTGATGAAGCTAAAGCAGCTCTTCGGGACTTAAACTGCAAAGTTGAGCTTCGGGAGTTTTGGAAAGGCCCTCTACAAACTGGCCTAATAAGTAGTGGTTGAATTTACTGTTTTCTAACACTAACAATTCAGCACTGTAAAGTTTCTGACCATTTAGTGCATTCAGTCAACATCACCAGTTACACTTACTCTTGTGCTTGACTTTAATCTTGATAAGTTGCAAATAAATACTTGATTCTAAATGTCGCTGAATAATCATTTTTCCTGAATGTGTGAATCACTCATCAACAACAAATAACTTGACTCATATATTCATCTACCTGAGTTCCTACGATGCATCAAAACAAAGGCAAACATTGTCTTAAAAAATAATAGTAGTACCACTGATAGTCAAAACATATCCATAAAAGGCAAAGCGAATTCGTTAAGTAAGCTGTGCAAAGTAATTGCAGAGATTCACTCTATGAGAAGACATTATGTCCATCTAAGTCAACCCAACCGATTATGAAAACGGCAGAAGGCGTCAACTGAATCGTAAACAGAAAATGTATTCACGGCATGATCTCGAGTAGTGATTTAATGAAGCAAGTAAAAGAAACAGATATTAGCGATAAGTAACACCAGGCAGTTATTCATACTTATCATGGAGATAGGCTTTTAATAGTTAGGTATTAGGCTTTAAGTTACTAAGTATCTCTAGACAATCAGAACATTCATTAGGTTTAGGTCCCCCGACTCTTGGTGGTTTTGAAAGGACCATCGCTAACTAGAGTTCACGTACAACTCCAGGGATTCTTATACCAATTGCAGAAATCCTTGTGAACAGTCATAAAGCTCATCGTGTTATCGGATAGTTTGTGGGTTCGACGCAACTACATCTAACTGTCCTTGACATCGACAACCAAAGTCATGCTTTTTTGACATTTGATTCCCGGGACAGTGGTTTATGACTATTTTCCGCTAAATAGTACGTAAACTAAGTGATGTCTTTTTACCCCAACATTATTAGCGGAGTCAAATCTCGAAGAGAAATGCCGTCATAATAGGCGATCACAATTGTCGTTCGTCAAGTTTGCACACGGTATCTTTTTATTTCACTTCGTTGTTGATGTATTGTGGAGATCCTAGTCCCTTTATTGAAGATGCCAGCGACTGATCCACCATAAGATTTACTCATGACTTAGAATTCGAAAATGACAGTCCAACTTGGTCAAGATGCTAATGTTATGGAGACTCTTTGGATCGTCATAAGTAGCAGTGCACTCATTTTTCAGACGGGGTTCTCTAACTTATTGATTAATGTGCTTGTTCAAAACTTGGCTTGATCATCCACCAAATCAATCTTTCACTGTGTGATAACAATCCTCCTACTATTCTACTTTTTCTGATGCCTCAATAGGCCTAGGTTGATGGCCGATGAAATCTCAGCACAGATTGAGGAGAATTTCGCTAACTCACCCCACGTTTTACGCAAGCGATATTTCACTTACCACGCAGAAGGAAAGCACTTCAGATCTTAATCCATAGGTATCTTCGGGACGATACTCGTGTTTTTTTATTGTGATCAAGTATATGGTACTCACAAGGTTATTTCAGTGGCTATTAAGTTTGTGAATCTCCAACAACAGAAATGGTCAAAATATGTATTGGACACTCTTGATCGCCTTCTACTGAAATAAGAGATTACAACTGGTGTAGTAGTAGGTTGGAAGGAAGCTAGGGTTGGTTAGATAAATATGTGATATCAGTTGGTGCAGTCACTCACTGCTGGTCTAATCCCGTTCGACAAATACTGATTGCTTGACTGACCGCTTGATTATATGTGGGTAATATGGTTCGAAATAGCTCACTGTAGGAATTCATTGTGTAACCTCTGGATTAAGACTTCTTTCACATACATCGTTACATTCTGCCTTTCAAGCTGCTCACCTAATATCTTCACGAGTTATTACAAGCCAGTTAATTTATTTGCGCTCAATTCTTGTTCTTTCGGTACGGTTCCAGATGTTTGATAGCGCCCAATGAATGAGGGTCTAGCCACTTGACTGTCTAACTTTAGTCAGTTGGTTGTGAGTTTTCATGTCTCATGATTTGAATGAAAACGTTTGTTTCATGGCAGTAGGGTATCTGGATACCAGCAGCTATCACATTACCAAACCGGAGAGCAGTTAGTTGTAATGTAGAGAATAATAAGGATAAAATTATAATGCTCGTATGAAGAGGATTTCAGAACTAAGTAAATAAATAGATAATTTGGTTTATTAATTGGTAGTGAAGATTGTGAGAGAGGACCCTAGTGTAAGCAAGGGAGAGGAAACAGAAGTAATAGGCGAGATAGATTAATTGAGTGATCTGAGGAGATGGCAATGATAAAAACTAGCAGGTCTCAAGATATGCATCAGGCACAGCTTGTCCACGAGGGGGATGATTTTGATGGGGCCCATGTTTTCACTAATGCTAACTTTGTCAGTGCTTCTGCACCGTGGACAAATATACCAGAACCACGGGCAGGGCTGACTCAGCATGAACCCGTAGCACTCTCTAGGTACTGTAGTGTGACAGTGTCAATAAACATTTGTACTACAGAAGTTGAATTAAAAAGCAGAGTCCTAGTTTTGACTGACATCGAGCAGGCGATACAGTAATCCTTGTGCTATTATGAACGAGCAGTAGGGTGTCTTTTCCTCACATTCTTATTTTACCTACCGGCCTATCTAAGAGTAGGAGTATGAAGAGTGTCGTCTAGGTTTCTATGTTGGGGACCTAGTGTCCGTGTTTGCTTCGAGTTATCCGAATCGGGAACATTACTCCAAGGTAAGCTATCAATTGAAGTTTTGCGCTTTTTCACAGCTCCGTCGCTCAATACTAAGATATTCAGCTCATCTCTACTGATTTTCTTAGTTGTTATAGTGTGAGAAGTGGTACCAATCTTATTACCTAACATGATTACTGAGAGATTTAGAAAAGAAAAACTGGAAGATTAAAATAAACGAGATAGGACTATCGGAAGAAGGAAAATAATAATATTAAAAAAATACAAAAGAATAGAACTTAAATGTTACCCAGAATCGAAACTTTACCTTTGACCGGCATGGTAACCAACTTCGCGTGAACCCGGTATGAATGTGTGCATGCTGCCGAAGCAACTAGAAAGAGAGCAGTTAATCGAGACAGATAGATCTGCCGCACAGTGGTTCCGAAATAGAATTATTCCGATTCTCTGGATTAGAATTCATATTGTCTATCAATGAATGAAAAAATTTTTATATCCCCGTAATGATCAAATATCTCAATCTGGTGTCCAAAACTGGACTGTTTCCTGTAAGTGGTGGGAGGTCAATAAGGACACGTCACTTTCGAAGCGCCGAATTTATTCAATCGCTTCATTGTGACATCGCGACTCAAGCTAAAACATGCTTATATCAGGCTCTTCAATAACTGTCACCATAAAAACTCTAATGAACGTTTACGATAATTAAGTAAATTCAACCAATCTTCATATATTGTACGCAACAGGATTATATTCATAACATGCTCCACTATAACCAACTATACATTTTACTTCTACTACTGAAGAATCAATAGGCTGCATCGAAGAATGGAGTGATCGTGAGCAGGAAACATATCTGTAAAAGAAATCACACACTCAAAATCTCTCCAGTGTTTAATTGGACAGTTTTGTTATCTCTCTGCTCTTTGAACACGTTTGTACTTAACTTTACTGCAAACTTTCGGATCATGTTTTTCATTCTTAGTCCTCATTGTCCGACTTCAGTTGATTATTACCCTTAATATTTTAACTTCTGTTGCTCACCATCAAATCAATGATAATTAGATCCTGTTTGACAAAACGTAAGGTTACGGAATAGTTCCAATCTTGTTGGGAGTAATCTTGTCGATTACGCTTACTTATTGACCAATCCGTCCTGGCTGTGTTGTATGACAAAAACCTTTAACTGTAAAACTGAGGTTGTGCCTTTTGAGGTATTTTGCGTTTTTGATATCATTTGTTTTCTTTCTTAAATTAGAATCGCTTAAATTGAACACAGAACTTGTTTAAAACGGTTGGTTACGAATCATTCAAAAACGCTTTTCAATCTATACAGAAGAACGTAGTTCAATCTAATCTAATAAACATTAGCTCTTCAGCCTTTTTTTGAACCATACGTTGAAACTTTGATCGTTACGAAGCATTTCATAGGTTATCCTAGTAAGATAGCCAAGCCAGTATTAAACCGGGAACTGCAGTCTCAAAAGCACGAGATAAAGAACAACCGCAGGCAGAAAAAGATGCATAAACAAGTGAGTTGATAAATAATAATATGTTTATTCGCAAATAGCAGAGACAGACGATTTACTCCTGCTGAAACTGTTTCATAACGCCCAAACCGGGTGATGATTCACACTCTTTGTAAATGCAAGACCACTGATATTCGGGCGTAGAATTGTGGGGCTTGCGTGACAACTCATTAGAATATTAGTGTGCGTTCCGTGAAGCCGACTATAGATGAACAGAACAGGAGTTATCTGTCTACCTGTTGCTAAATCCAGAGAGGGAAATTTAACTTTGCAGAAGAATCCACAATAACTCTAGCGACGAAAAGGTAGAAAAATAACCCAAAAATCTAAAACGATTTAATTTGTAGAACACCTATGCTTTCGAGCTTATTCGGCAGCTCGTAAAAGTGACGCCACAACAAGAAGATATAGAAACGTATGCAGTACATCCACTAAGATGAGGCAATTTCATGTGACAACATGGTTAATAAGGACGACGTTCTTGTCATCGTGAATGAAAGGGCTATGTGACCTTAAAGTTTTTGTTAGTTCCGTATAATTATAGCCTGTTTTGGCCAGAATGAATAATACATATCCTGCAAAAACTTAGTAATCTTTAATTTTACTACAGTATCTCACTTTTCCTTATTTCTACGATGATTTATATTTTCAATATGAGCATCAATGTAACTGAATATAAATACACATATCTTGTTTCTTAATTGTATATTATCCGTTAAACCGATATGTCATTCATAATCTGAATAAGTCTATGTAAATCGCCTGTTACGCCATCCTTTAGTTCTTTCTGAGTCCTTACAAAA